AACTACTTTAATCATTCAAGGATGAAAATGTTTATGGGTAGATAGGAAATTTTGAAAGAAATATGTGTAAAACAGTGTTTTGTGATACAGGGCTTGGGGCTGGAGCATGACAGGGAGGAAGATAAAATAAATATATTCAGAGTGTTGAGCCTAGGTGACCTTGATAATAATGATGTCTCTGGAAATACTAGGTCATTTTTATGTATGTTTATTTTGTTGTGAAAATGGCCATTCAGCACTTGGACATAGACTAGAGGTGATAGAAGTGAAAGAAATGTTGAAGTTTTCCATATGGAGTAGTGCTTGCTTCTTTGTGGAGACAGAATGCAGTGTAGATGGCAAAGAACTAAACTTACTCGTATTTAGCAGAATGGAGAAGGTATCAAAATCCCTAGAGTATATGCATACTATTAGACAAACACCAGGTTAAATCATGCCAGAGAGTTGAGAATAAAGTTTCAAGGGAAGCTTGAATTTGAAGATGAATTACTTGTTTTCATATTATTTTTCTTTTGATGAAAATTTAGACATGTTTTTTCAGAATCACCTTTATATAATAAAAAATTATTTTCATTTTGCATAGTAATTTGATCTACTAATTTTACCAAGCCAGGAACAGCTGTTTTCATTTTTGCATAAATTTCTTTATCTCATCACTACTTGTTTTAAAAAGCTTCCTATTAGTTCTGTGTGTAATAATGTCACCATAAATTAAAGAATTATCAATATTAAAAAAAACATTCATTCAGTAACAGTCTTTTAAAGTAATTTGAAGGCATCTGAACTACTGGAATGCAGATAGATAGGATATTCTTTTTGTTTACATGTGACCATAGTAATGATTGAAGGCAGCCAAGGGGTATTTTAAAAATATATACTATGTATTTCTTCAGTATTTAGTACACATTCTTAATTGTTATTTTCCCCATATTGTTGAACTCTAAAGGTTCTTTATACAAGGAAGAACTTTCTAAGAATAAATCTTAGTATAAATTCCATTTTAAATGATGCATAATTTTAAATTTTAGAATATTTTCTACATAAGATACTCCCTTCTAATCACTGGTATATTTAAAAATATGAACAAAACAAAAAATGTAGCCCTGGTTTCAGATTGAAAATTTCCTTAACAGGGTGATTCTGCTCATATTTTTCTTGTTTGTTCTTTGTGTTGAGGTCTTCCAGAAGTACATACTTGATATTCATAACCATCTATCTGCCTATATTCCTCATGACTGGAATAATTTAGACCCTGCATTTTAGTCTGGATTCTAGGGCTTTTAATATACTTCATATCTAGATTTGTCCAGGTCTTCCTGAATTTCAGATACTAGGATTTTAGAATCATATAGGGTGCTAATGACTACTTAAATGTTTTTCATTGCTCCACAGAGACACTAGATGTTTTTTGAATTACTAGTAGAGAGATTTTTGGTCTTAGACTTCATTCCTTATTCTCCTTTAATTACTTATCTTTCTGCTTCACAAAAATTACATTAAAAGTTTTGTCATCTTTCTTAAATAATTCTAGCATCACTAAAGCTCTTAACTTAGGAATTTTTGTGTTATCTTACATTTTTTGAGATAGGATTTCCATGTGTAGTCCAGGCTGGCCTTGAACTCAAGATCCTCTTGCCTCAGCCTCCTGAGTGTTGGGATTATAGGCTTGATTTAATCTTTTTAAAGTTCATTATAAATCTCTAAACTCCTAACAAGGTTATGGTATTTGATTCTTATAAATTTTTCTAGAATTCTTTAGTCATTGTGAGTTAAGGGAATCATTATTATTTTAACATGTGATCCCCTGATCTCCTCTTTGAAAAAGGAAAACAATATCATAATGCTGCATATGTCTCATTTTCTTGTACCCTACTCCTACTGAAAATACTGCCATTCTGGTAAATACTATCTCATGGATTGTCTAAGCTATCTGTTAGTGTTATTTAATATATATGAGTTTTATTATGTCTTAGTTATATCCCAAATAATGTATAATAAGCATACTTAATTTTATTAGAGGAATAGTTCTTCAAAAACTCACTTGCTTTAGAAATTTATTATTACTCTTTATTAATTTCTCTTATAATTATTGTAGCATACAGGAAATACTAGCAAAAACTATATTCAGTATTAAATTTTATTATTAAATTTTATGTTGACGCATTCTCATTAGGCTATTCATTTAATTTTATGATAGACCCATATCCTTTCATATGCATAGAGAAAATTCATTCTTTTGATTTTTGAAGTTAACCTTCATTGCTCTCTAGTTACACATGTATATTTAAACAGTGACTTCATTATTAAATTTTTCCTTTGAAATTCTTATTTACCAGTATATTGACTGTGGTTTAAAAATATGGAATCCTTTTCAGAGAAAAATGTTTAAGTTTCTTTTTTGCTTAGCTTTGTTAGTCACAATAAACTTCATAAAAATAGTTACTTTTAGTTACATAGGAAAAAGCAAAATATTTTCTGACTTACTTTTTTATCATCAACTGTTTGGAAAAAGCCCTAGACTGTATATTTTAGGTATGGGTGTTTATTATCTGAGAATCTATTCATAACAATACACTTTTACACGTGTGTGTGTGTGTGTGTGTGTGTGTGTGTGTGTGTGTGTGTGTGTGGTGTTATAGGGATTGAACTCAGGGCCTTTTCCGTGCTAGGCAAGTGCTCTACCACTGAGCTACATTCCCAACCCAAACTTGTCTTTTTAATTGATAAAGTCGTAGGTGCCTTTCCTCAAGTAGATTCTTTTAATGCCTTCTTTCAGAAGCAGCGACTAACTTAAGTAGCTTAATTTCCTTTTTTTTCTGAGAAGATTGAAATGTACTTTCATTTTCTTCATATAAAATTCACTTGGAGGTAAACAGATGCTTCACACTAATAGAAAATTAGTACTAATCTGCTATATTCACAATGGAATATATAGTACACAATGATCTTAAAAATGTGATTGCTATTTAATATGTCCTTTTTTGGAGTTTTATAAGTTCCAGTTTTCCTAAATTATTATGATAGAGATCTACTAACTGTTAAATGTGGCCACATCATTATATAGCATTGATATGCAATTTGTTAGTTCCCCTCCTCCATAAAAGAAAAAGTGGAGCAAGATAGTCTAAACATCACAGGAAGGATACCATGCTTTTTTCTTCCTCTGTACCACTGTATACTTAAAATTACTATTAAGTATACCATTGTATACTTAACTTAGATTTAGAGTAATATTGTAGTTGTGGAAGCATTTATTAAAGTGGATTTATAAATAATTTTTTTGTTTTTTTCTCTTTGAAATTTTTGAGTGAACTGGGAAATAAATTGTCTAACATGGCTAAAACAGTTTTAATTCTTTAATTTTGAATTTTTTAGTTAAATTCTATTTAACGGTAAGCTCTGTTCACATGGTTAGTTTTTTTACAGTTTGTATAATTTTGTTTTATTTGCCTAGGAGAACATTGGAAATTAAAAATCCTGACATTTCTACTTTGTAGTCTTTTCATTTCTGGCATATACTAAGCTATATGGCTACTCGTGCTCTAGAGAAATAGTTCTGTCTTTTCTTGTTTTTAAATTGTTCTAAAGTGTAGTTAGAGAATCAGTTAGCTTCCTCCACTGTCTTACTATCTTCCAACTTTCTTTGCACTCAAGAAATAATCCTGTTTCACTTATCCACTGTCTTATATGGTAAATTTTTGTGTGTATTAGACATTAAACAAATTTATTAGTTTTTTTAATACTTTTAAGGAAAATTATTCTTTTCCATTATCACTTTCCAAAACAGTGTTAATAAGTACCATTGTGTACATTTCTTCTTGTTCAGCAAATCAAAAGAAAAGTTAGTTGTCTTTTCGAGGCCATCCTTTCTGCAGTATTATATTATTAACTTCTTAGGAAGAATCCTTCTTTTTGTAGTGGTTTTCTCTTTTCTGTAAAGCACTTGCTTTCCTTGAGAAATCAACTTCTTCTTCTGAATTTTGACTGACTTCTGATGAACTGTACATCCATCCTTATGTCAAATTTTTAATACTAAAGAAAGAAAATTACCATTTTTCTCTTTCCAAGCATTGCCTGGGATACTAATAAAGCTGAATTTGTTCTAGATCAGTGGATACCGGAACAGAAAGGAGGTATTTCTTACCTGATAATGTGTGTGTGTTCCGATTCTGCTAATCCAGAAATCCAATCTCATTTGTTAAAAAATCATCCTTAGTTGTTATTTGTTAGGGAGTCCACTCCCTATTTTAATTGTTTCTGAAATTCAGTCCCTAGATGTGCTTTAGATAGGGTAGAATTTTTACCTCTTTCAGAACACTGCTAAAGAAGTTTTCAACTGGAACATAGTCTGAAGAAGCATTGAGAGCAAAAAAATTCAGAGTGGTGATTGGCCACCTCTGTTTGATTGACAGGTTGCAGGGAGAAACCCATTCGTTCTGGATTAATGGAACTGGAAAACAGAAAACAATTATCAGGTAAAAAAAACCTTTTCTTTAACCTTTGGAATTCATCATTTAAAAGATGAGTCAGACCACCAGGGAATTTAGTACCAAAAAGGATAACATTTACTGTCTTGTAAGCAGTGATCTCTGACTACTACTTCCACCTTACCCAAAAAAATCACTACAGTTGCTACATGTTCTTAAGCCTTTACAGAAAGGGCATGAATGAATGGAAATAGATGGAATGTATGGTTCAATTATGTTTTAAATCTGGGTTAAAAATGTGAAGCAGAATTCTATGGGTGGGGGTAATTGGTGTTCTTTTATTTCCTGATTTGTGTCTGGTCTGTGGATAGAGTTCTTTGTTTTTCAAGGCTGTTAATCTGGCACTTTTCATGAATATTCCTAAATTTTATTATTGTACCATGCTTGTTATACTTTCTTCTCTTTATTAGGATGTATACTTGTAATTCTTTTAACATAAAATTGTAGTACCAATAGTAACCAGTCTTAATACTTTGATGACAGTTTCCTGACTGTTGGTTAAATATATTTCAGATTGAAGGCCAAGGACATGGTGCAGTATTTGACTGCAAATGCTCTCCTGATGGTCAGCACTTTGCCTGTACGGACTCTCATGGACATCTTTTAATATTTGGTTTTGGATCCAGTAGCAAATATGATAAGGTAGAGTATAACTATATGTCATTTCCTCTTTTTTTTTTTTTTCCTTTTTTTAATCCATGGGTGTTCAGGAGTTAAATTTGTTTTGGGGTGGGTAGGAATCAGCATTTTTGAAATCAGCATAAAGCTTGAAGAATCATAGTTTAAATAGTGTAGAGACTTAGTTTTAGAAAGGAGGGTGAAGATAACTGTTAAATCTAATTTTTCCACAGTTAGGTTATGGGCCTTATTATTTAAAAATCTACAACAGTCTAGATTTGCATTCTTAACTTGGAATATGTAACTGTGAATGAAAGATGCTATTCTTTGAAGGGCTCTTTGAAGCTATATTTTATTAGTGTACATTATAAACATGGAAGATATGAGTGTGGCTTTCATGAGATTCTCAAAAATGTTGGACCCATTGATGTTATCTGACCATGTCTTGAAGGTAACTGACTAAAAAAATTAAATTGCTTATTTGTGGTAGAATGGTCTAAAACATATGGTAACAAAAAATACATAGTTCATAATTTAAAATATTGCAAATTAACCAGTGAAATTTTGAAATAAGTTACAGATGTATCAGGGTTGAGTTCATATTAAGAATTTGATATTACCTCAGAATTTTAGTGAAGATGCTTACTACTCTTAGAAAATCTTGTCAGGTTAATTTTTTATATTAATATTCCATAAACCATGTAGTCAGGAGTATAGCTCACTGGTATCGCACATGCTTAGCATGAGCAGGACTCCAGGTTTCAGCATGCATTAGATGAACTATTCTTACTATATGCCTATGGATTTAAGACAAAGTATGGTAGCTCTGCGAAAGTGAAAGTACCATTGAATAATTTATGCCTAGATTTGATTTTCCCATTTAATTAAAAATGGATAACTTTTATTATTATCGTTTGCGGCACTGGGATTTGAATTCAGGGCTTCACACTATCAAGGCAGGTGCTTTTACCACTTGAGCTACTCCGCCAGCCCTTGAATAAATTTTAATGGTAACTTTTTTAATGTACACCCTCTCTTCTTGTAAAACAGTAGTTTAGAAAATGCAAATATTTGTTTACAGTTAATTTAAGAAAAGAATATCTTCTCTCCCTCTCGCCCCAACTTCAATGCTGGGGATCAAACCCAGGACCTCATGAATGCTAAGCAAGCACCCTACCTGATCTGCACCCTCACCCTCAAAATATTCTTTTAAATTGTTGCTTAATGCCGTAATATGTAGTATATTGTTTTTTGTTAGAAATGTTATAGTCTTTATAATGATAAATTTTTATTTTTCCAGTCTTTTATGGACCTTTCTTTTTACAGATAGCAGATCAGATGTTCTTTCATAGTGATTATCGACCCCTTATCCGTGATGCCAACAATTTTGTGTTAGATGAACAGACTCAGCAGGCACCTCATCTCATGCCTCCCCCCTTCTTGGTTGATGTTGATGGTAATCCTCATCCATCAAGATATCAGAGATTAGTTCCTGGTCGTGAAAATTGCAGGGAAGAACAACTCATCCCTCAGATGGGAGTAACTTCCTCAGGTTAGTGCTTATATTCATAGGTGACAAGTTTTGTTTTCAGTTGCTTTGAGCAAATAAGAAGGAAGAATATTGCTTTATACTTCTAAAGTTCTTTGAATAATGCTTAAGAATTATAAGATAATTACAGAAACCATTGAGGGTTTAAAGCAATAATGTTAGTTTGTATCAATTTATCATCTCTGGGAACTAATAGTGTCATTGCTATATTTAGTAGAATTCTCATTCAGCAGAATTTATTGAGACTCTGTTCTATCCCTGACCTGTGAAACAACATCCCTGGTTTTTCAGTAGGCAATTAAATGTGTTCCATCCCTGACGATAGATTAATACATACAATTATAAACAAATACATAGTTCACAATTGTGATGAATCTTATTAAGGGTAATAACACTGTGTGAGAAACAAAACTAGATTGCTTATTCACATTGAAGAGTATTTTAAGAAGTACTTAACTTTTAAAGGTTTATAAGAAGAATGGGCTGTTTCGGTGAGGTAATGGAGTATGCAAGTCAAAAGAGTTAAAGAATTGAATTTTCAGGGGGTTAAAATGGAGGCAAGATCTGTGGACTCCTCCTTATTTGATAAGTGTAACACTGATTTATTAAGTGAAATAATCGAGACACTGTAAAGAGTAGACCAGGTTTGTCATTATGAATTTTTTTGTATTTTAGACTAGAAAAATGTTGGGGAAGATGTTCTAGGTTTTATACTCCAGCATAATAGACAAGATTTCTATGTAGATTTTTGTGGCGCATGAATAATGAATTTAGATTCTGTAAGCAGCACACATAATTCAGTCTGTTTGTAATATAGCAAACCCATATTATTTTTCTTAAAGGATTGGGTGTGAAATTGCAAAATCATGGATACTTTGGATAGAAGGGGCTGCTTTTAAAATTAGATAAGCCTAAGCCAGGCACCAGCAGTGCATAACTGTCATCTCAAGCTATGCAAGAGGCTGAGATAGGGAAGATTACAGTCCAGGTCAGCCTGGGCAAAACAGTTGGTGAGACCCCATCTCATGGGAAAAAGCCGGGCATTGTGACTTGTGCCTGTCATCCCAGTGACAACAGGAAGCTTAAAGTAGGAAGATTGCTGTCAAGCTGGCTTGGGCAAAAATTGAGACCCTATGACCCAAATGACCAGGGAGTAATGGACTGGGGGCATGGCTAAAGTGGTACAGCACCTGCAGTACCTTGTAAAAAAGTTTTGTTTTGTTTTGTTTTTTTCCCCCAGTTAGAATAGAGGGTAAGGAAGAAACAGAGAAATTCTGCTACTCAGAGAGAGTATAACTTTAATATCTGGAAATGTGAAACTAATGTCTCTGCACATGGAAACTGCATGAACTCAGAATCTAAGAATAGTTAGTCTTAGAAAAATCTAAGCAGCTATTCAGATTAGAGAAATCTCCTATTTGGAGAACTACTGGTCATACGACTAAAATTAAGAGGAATGTCTGTGGTCTCCTGGAGTGCAACTGGCAAAAATCAGATTGTGCCCAGGTCTCAAAATAGGTAACTTGGTTGGGGTCAGGCATAGGGAAATAAGAAAAGGACTCATTTATTAAAGTATTAGTGCTCTTTAGTTATTATTATTACTTTTTTCCATTTAATAGTTTAAAGAGACTATTATAGATAATATTTAATCCCTGTATTTATGATATTTCAATCCTAGAGATTGAAAAAATAGTAACTTAGGGCTGGAGATATGCCTCAAGTTGTAGAATACTTGCTTAACAAGCACTAGGTCCTGAGTTCAAACTGTAGTACCTCTCCCCAACCCCCACCAGACACACACACAAAAGTGAGAGAGAGAGGAAAAAAAAATTTAATAGTACCGTGTCATGGAATCACAGAGACTCCACTCCATTTTTTGTTATCTTTTCCATACCAAGCTGCTCTTAAAAGTATAGAGTGGCATGATCTTGAAAGTGAAAGATATCATTTGTTAGTGCTGGACCAGAAGAAAACCTTTAATGATAATTATGGCTTCATAGTGAGTCACACAATTTTTCTGTGTTTTCATTCACAGAATTTAGAGTAAAAATCTTTTCTGTCATTATTTTAGGTTTCTCATTTTCAACACCAGAAAAATAGTCAATACAGTATAGAAAAAACCAAAAATATTTTAAAGAAAAACTTTAACATCATTATAAATTATATTTGTGTTTGTAAATTTAGGTCTGTGATAAAATTTATTTTGAGAGATACTGTAACACTGAATAAAAGTAGATGTTGGCTATTGTATTAATAAATTAATTTGAAAACAGTTTTGTTACATTGATACTTGCTGGCTTTTTGAGTTAGGGTCTCACTGTGTGCCCACGTTGGCTTCAAACTTGTGATCCTCCTGTCTTGGCCTCCTGAGTGCTGATCTTAGAAAGTGTAATTACTTTAAATGTACTTCCTCAGTTGTAAACTTCGGTGAACTCTTAACAAATTACCCATCAATATTCAAACAATCTGAGCAGCAAATCAGGAAAGCATGTGTAATATTTCAGTTTTACCTCAGTCTACTTTTACTACTTTCTAGCTTTGAGTCCTTGAACAAGTTAGTCCTATTGAATTAGTTTTCTCTTATAAAATAGCATTATGTGCTTAATACATAATTTTCCTTTCCCATGTACCCTTCTTTTTTTTCTCATTGCCAAACAACTCATATTTATTCTTTTTTTAAATAGAAATATCCTTCTTGTTTTGCTTGATTGTGAAAATAATAAATGTTTATTGTATGAAATCAGCAAATACAAAAGTATAAGAAAATTATAGTTACTTGTAGTTCAACACCCAAGCACTATCTTTTTGATATATGTCAAAAAGACATATATATATATATATATATATATATGGGATACCCACAAACAAAAACTATATATTTTTCTGTTACTTTAAACAAAAGCGAGATCATGTTTTTAATAGCCTTTTATCAATTTATGAATCATAAACATGTTTCCATGTTGATTTGGTTTGGATAAGTGTTCATCAAGGCATTATTGGGAGTGGTGGAATCTTTAAGAGGTGGGACCTAGCAGGAGATCTTTAGGCTTTTAGGGACTAGCTGGACCCTGGACCCTTCTTCCTGTCTTTTCACTTTCCAGGAACAAGGTGAGAGTTTTGCTCCTCCATGTGCTGGCACCATGATTTCTGCCACAGGCCCAAAGTAATGGTGCCAACTAATCATGAGCCAAAACCTCTAAAACTGTTAGCTGAAATTAACCTCTTGTCTTTAAATTTTGTTGATCTGGGTATTTGTTATAAGGACAGAAAGCTGACTGACAAAGCCAGCTGTCATGCATATACCCTTCTTACTACTACTTCATTTCAGAATATTCTTAGTGTCTTAAATTCTGACCCAATCAACTCTTCTCTTATGTACCCTTATACCCAATACTATCCCTCTTCTATTCTATGGCAATATTTTTCATATATCTAATATTCTTATATGTCTTATATTTTTATTCATTCAGCAGGATTGAACATTTTTATATGCTTTACATTGTACTAACCTTACAGAATCTTAAGATAAATAGTCCATTCATTCAAAACTATTGGGCTGAGTACTAAGATATGTAAAGATTAATCTGAACCTGAAAAGAGAGTAGCAATTAATTCTTCCAGAAGTAGTTTGGAAAGATTTCACAAAATAAATAAGGAAGTACCATTTTAATTTATCAAAGGATGAATTAAAATTTACCATGTTTAGAGTAGAATTACTGTGGTAAAAAGTTCCACAGCATAAGGGTATTTTCCTGTTAGGAAGGCAGAAGAGTCAAGTGGTTCTCTGTAACTGGCACAGTGAGACTTGGTGCTGAGAAAGTAAAGTGGATTAAACTATGACAAGTTCTTCCATGTCTCACAGGCTTTGGATCTCTTGGCTGCCATCTGTAGTGTCCTTTTTCTAGCTTTCATGTGGCCTACTAATTCAAGTCTCAATTCAAATGCTGCTTTCTCAAAGAAAGCTGGTTTATCTGACTTCTGACTCACCCATTGGTATTTCCCATCTTTCTTCCTTCCCCTTTCACATCACCTTTATTTTAACAACATCTTTCACAATCTACATTTATCTACAAGTTTATTGTTTACTTTCCTTGGTAGGATGTTAGCTTTCTGCAGTGCAGAGATCTTGATGTTTCTTATTTATCACTGAATCCCAAGTACTTAGCATTGTTCTTAGCACACACATTCTTAGACAGTCAAGAAGTTTTTGAATAAATGAGTCAGGAAAATTTTGTTTTTTAAGTGAATAATCAGATTTGTCTTTCTAAAGAAATTGATCTAAGTGGAAAATTCTACTTCTTCTACTTCCTAGATATATGACTTTGAGCAGTTAAAAGTAAGTTTATGGGGGTGTTGTGTTTTCTTTTTTGCTTTTGCTTTTATTCTCATAATTTACAGATAATCATTAATAAGTTACAGATAATCATTTTTGGTCTTTTATCCAAAGAAAATATATGTTTAATTATGGACTCATAAGTAAAGCTGATGAATAATAGTGGTTTCAATTGTGATTAAAATTTCCTTAGCATTTTGTGTGGTATTGCATAGGATTGAACCAAGTGTTAAGCCAGCAAGCAAACCAGGATATCAGTCCGCTGGATAGTATGATTCAAAGACTACAACAAGAGCAAGACCTGAGACGTTCTGGTGAAGCAGGTATCAATAATACCAGCCGTTTAAGTAGAGGTAAGCAGAGATTCTATTTTAAGTGAAGTATTTAAAAATCTGAAATAAACTAAACCTCTCAACAATAGAGAAGTGATTAAAGAAAGTATGGAATATCTATAAAATGAAATAGTAAGATTGCCAAAATGATCCTGTCTTTGAGGAATAGTTAATGACCTAAAAAGTGTTCAAAAGATGAGGTTTTAAATTATAGCTGAGTTTTCAAAGTAAATTTATTCTTCTAAAATTCCCACGGTACACATTACAAATTAGGATTTTTTCTGGGGATTTACTTGTACATGCTAAGTAAGTGGCCTTCCATTGAGCTGTACCTCCAGCCCAGAAAAATACTCAAAACTCAATTTATTCAGTAATTTTTAAAACATAGTCAAAGCCACTTTTTTAACAGCTCATCACCCTTACTTGTATTTATTATTAAACATTAAAAGTTAAAATAAGTTAAGAACCATAAATTTTCTTGGGCTTGAATTTTCTCAGATACTTAGCATTTTTTTAAAGTAATGTTTTTTTTTTAATTATAGAACTTAATAGTCTGTAGTTAAGACTCATTGACCTTATCTAATCAATTGAATAATTATGTTTTGTTTTAATTAAACTTTTGCCTGTGGTTTAGTTCCCTGATTTGGTAATTGAATAATTTGCTACAACATAGAGCTTTGTGTGAAAGATAGTATAATTTTGGTTACATACTAATGGAGAAGTATCTCTAAGTATAACTTTGCTATACTAACTTTTTACTTAGGCTCTGTAAGTTCTACCTCAGAGGTTCATTCACCACCAAATGTTGGACTGAGGCGTAGTGGACAAATTGAAGGTGTACGGCAAATGCACAGCAATGCCCCAAGGAGTGAAATAGCCACAGAGCGGGATCTTGTAGCATGGAGTCGAAGGGTGGTAGTACCTGAACTATCAGCTGGTGTAGCCAGGTAAGAGAAATAATTAAATTGTATATACCCTAATTGCTTCTGTTCATTTTCATTATATTCTTTAAAATGCCTTTTCATCCTTGTAATTACTTTTAAAGTTACCTGAAAATCTAGTATTTCAAATTATTCATGACTGTTGAAAAATTAAATACCGTATTAACCAGAAGCATCCAGAAAATACATTATATTGCTTATTGATAAATATATAAATATTTTATGCAAAAAATTATTTCCTTATTTAAAAATATACATATATGATTTTAGAAGTATTGATTTGGTATAATCCTATTTTTCTAGTCCATGCTATGAGGGAACTTCATATTCAGTTAACTAACACTAACTTCTGTCCAAAAATAAAAAGTATGATAATCAAAATGTGAGGGTAGAGGCAGGAGGAGCTTAAGTTTCTCGAGGCCAGCCCAGGCAAAGTTAGTGAGACCGTATCTCAAAAACAAAAGGAGTGGGGACGTAAGTCAAGTGAGAGAGTACTTGCCTGGTAAGTGTAAGGACCTGAGTTCAGTCTCTTCTACTACAAAATGAATAAATAAATACTTAGTTATATAGTTAGAATAATCTTTTGTGTTTAAAAACTAGAAAATTGCAGATTCAGACTCATAGTTTGGTTGCCTGGCAGGTGCAAGGACCTGGGTTCAATCCCTGGTACTACAAAATAAGTAAATTAAATAATTACATGTAGTATAATCCTTTGAATTTATTTAATTATTCATTTAATATTTACAGTTATCACCAGACATATTGGAGATTTTGCAGTGAAGTAAGATGACAGTATTAATATGCTCTAGTGATAAAAGTATTAGCAGTGCATGGGTGTGAGTTTGAATATTAAGTCCTTTTTCATTATGAAATCTCCTGGAAAAATTAATCTTTAAAGATTAAACATCTTGCAGCTCAAAACCTTTGAAGTTGTAAGAAATTGAAGTAAAAAATAAAAATTTCTTATCCTTATGAGTTCGGGTTTCATGAAATTATATTTCAGAATTAATATTCCTCAACTTTTTCTGTGTACATTTTCACCTTGATACCTGGACACAATTCAAGTTTTTCAGTAGTACAGCCTGACCAGCATCTCACTGAGAAGAATGTAGTTCTTTTGAAGCTTTAGGAATTACATTAATTCAACTTAAAACTTAATTGTCAAGTGCAAAGCCCTAAGTTCAAACTCTAGTCCTACTGAAAAAGAAAAAAAAGCAACATAATTGTGCCTCATTTTAAAAAAGATTCCAGCTATCCATATGGCATACAAGATTATCAAAGCATAGGACCTATGGTTATGTATATACTTAAAAAAAAAAAAAATCCAGTTTCTAACCTTCAGAGCATTTACCTGGGATTAACTGTGTCTCCAGAATCTTAATACTTGCCTTGCCAATGACTATAGCTGGAACAGTAGTTTCAAGAAGGAAAAATAAATTCATCTTTCTAGTATTCCAGTGATTTAAACTCAGAAGCCTTTATCACATGCTTCCATCTAGAAAGAAAAAACATTAAGAGTAGCTTTCCTTCCCTGATACCTAACTTTTTTGGGGGGAGAAATCAGTTTAAAATTCTGGATTAACATGTATGACTTTCAATGTTCTCTTTCAGTAGGCAAGAAGAATGGAGAACTGCAAAAGGAGAAGAAGAAATAAAGAATTATAGGTCAGAAGAGAAAAGGAAACACTTAACTGTTGGGAAAGAGAATAAAATAATTGCTGTCTCAAAGGTAACTATTAATTACTTTGATATCTAATATTTGCATGGTAAGCATAATGATCATTTTAAAGGCTTCCTTTTGAAAGTAAGAATGCTAATGTTGTAAACAGGATAACTAATAAAATTACTATATTCATTGTTTTATGATTTTATTAGCATATAATAGTAGTACAGAGGAATATGTTGTGATATTTACATATGTGCTTAAAATATATCTTAGTTAGATTTGCCCTCCCCTTCATTCTCCCTTCTCTCCTTTCCTCCCATTCTTAGAACAATTTCAACAGGTATGAATTCATTAAACATTCATTTTTTTAAAATAAAAATTGACTTTTAAACTAAAGAGCCTGTACTTCAAGCATATTCTGAATAAATTGAATTTTATTTTTTCCAGAATCATGCTTTTGAGCATTTCCTGGATCTTGGGGAATCCAAAAAACAACAAGCAAATCAACATAATTATCGTACAAGATCAGCACTAGAAGAAACTCCTAGACCTTTGGACGAGATAGAAAATGCCACTAGTTCTTCAGATGTAGGATCTCAGCACATTCATAAATTTTTCCATTTGTTTGGTAGTCGTGGGGTTTGATCTGAGGGCCTCATGCTTTCTAGGCATGTGCTGTCCCTTGAGCCACTGCCAGTCTTGTTTTGTGTTAGGTACTTTTGAATTAGGGTCTCATGAACTATTTGCCCAGGCTGGCTTCATGTTCCCATCTTGAGCTCTGCCTCTCAAGTAGGTAGGATTTACAGGTGTGAGCCACTGGCACCTGGCACACATTTATAAATTTTTGTATCCATTTTTACTTTTTAAAAATATGACTGTGGTTCTTTGCATTAATTGTATATGTGTAACTAACAGAAAAATGGCATGTTAGGTCTTAAAATGATACTGATACCTTCCATTGACTAAAGACCCACTTCAGGCATGACATACTGTCACATTCACAAAATAAATCCATATGAATTAATTATTCCCATTTTATATATGGGGGTTCTGAGGTTCAAAGGTGTTTAGGATACACGTCTATCTAACTACTAGATGGTAGAGTAGAGAATAAATGCATGCTCCTTTTACTTTAAAGCCAGCTGTTTAAATTGTTACCATCATGCTGTGGTATAGGCATGTGACAATTTTGGTTAATTTTTAATGTCAGTGCCAATTAATGGCTTTCTTAGTGTAATTTTTAACATTCTTCATTTATAATTATTTCCATAAATAATGTTCAAACTAAATTACACATTATCTCAGTAAAGACAATTAGCAGTCATAAATCAATGTTATTCAGCACTCAAAACTATCTCCTTTATCATTTCTCTCCCCCACAGAGATGCATTCACCTTGGATATTGACTGTTGTTCACTATTAAAGCCATGTGTGTCTTGAAGTGTTATGTGAGAATTCTCTTGAGTGTCTGAGATTATTTAAGCTGCAATTTTAGTTAATCTACAGGTTGGACACAGTGGTGTGTGCCTGTCATCCCAGGAGTTGGGACACTTGACCTCAGGAATTTGAGACCAGCCTAGGCAACAATAGGGAAACTCTTGTCTCCAAAAAAGATTTTTTCTTTTAATTAAAAAGAGAAGAATTAGTCTCCAGTGACTAAATTCTAGTGTTTATTCTGGCAATAGACAAAATATACCAGTTATATAAACCTGACAGGTGATAGTTTTGTGGGGTTTTTGTTTGTTTTGAGATATGATCTTTCTGTATTGTCCCTTATGGTCTTGAACTCCTGGACTCAAGTGACCCTCTTGCCTCAGTCTCCTGAGTAGCTGGCACTATAGGTCTGTGCTATCTCACCTCTCTGGTGACAGTTTGGAAAGACACACAAAACATAAAATATACGTGGGCAAATTATTTGCTTCGTTAAATCTTTATTTTGAAGATTTATAGTATGGCTTATTTATTTATTTACTGAGTTACTTACTTATTTTGGTGGTACTGGGGTTTAAACTTGGGGCCTCACTCTTGTTAGGCACGTGCTGTACCACTTGAGCTACTCTGCCAGACCTATGGTATGATTCTGTGACATTCTAAATTTTCATAAAATATTTTAAGTGTGGTACAGTTTATTAATAAGTTATATATTTACAAGATTATATCAGTAACCTGAAGAAAATTTTAATGAATTTTCATTTTTCTTCAAAAGTAATTTGTTTATGACTTAGCTTCCTTTTGGAGCAGTTGAATAAATTTCTAGAGCAGTGCCTTGAGAATACAATATATTAGATACACATACTAATTAATGGAAAGAATTCTGGCTTTTTAAAGAAAATTTATTCTGGCTTTTTTAATTCAAATATTTTGTACTTCTGTATTTCATATTTAGAATATAGACGTATTTTTGTTTCTTTAATCTGCCTTTAAGGAAGATGAAATATGGAAATAATTTGTTTAGATTTTGTAAAATTTAAATTTAAATTAAATTTGCTAGACAAAATATATATATTATATATTGGCTTTTTCATCTTTTCATACTTGCTTAGTTTTCAGAACTCTTTGGAATAGTCATATAATTCATTCTTCATTAAGACACCAAAATGGGAAAACTTTTTTCTAAAACATTTAAGTTGTGAAATAATACATCCCATTGTTGTCTTGAAGAAGGATTTGAATGTACCTAGCTAATAAAACTGAAATGTTCTTACAGAAGTTTGTTAAAGTTTTGAACTAAAATGACTTGGGTTCACATTAAGCCTTGTTTATTAGTTGTGCTGCCTGGGGCAAATTTTGTAACTTCCTTTAGCTTTTGCTTCTTTGAGATGAATTCTCAAAGTATGATTGAAACCAAATGAAATGATACACACAAGTTACTTTGAATAGTTTTTTGATGTACTTTAAAAGCTTAATAAATGCACAGGCTATTACTGGAGTGTAAAGTTTATATGAGCAAAGAATAAGTCATATAAGTTTTTGTGACCCCAAAAATCCAGGTTAATGAAGAAAATACTTTCACCCAGAGTATTCACTATTGAATCATGAATATTTATTAAGGAGATACAGTGCCTGGCTATTTTTTAATCTTTCTCATTTGGATAAAATAAGGCTAGAGATGGAATACCCTGTTTTGGATGGTAATGACATTTTACTCATAATAAGCAAAATGTAAGTGCAGCTAATTTTCCCATTTTGAAAGCATCTACTATAAAGAAAATTTAATTTTAAAAAAGGCTCAAGAAGTAGAAATTAATTTCAAGTGTTAACTATGGAAATGGATGTTACTCAGTTTAGTAGGTGTGTTATGTGACTTTTAAAAAGTAATCTGGCATAGTGGTACATGCCTGTAATTCCAATACTCAGGAGGCAGAGGCAGGAGGCTCAAGACCAGCCCAAGTTACATAGTAAGACCTTGTCTCAAAAAAAGAAGGGCACAGGATGTAGCTCAGTGGTAGAGTGCTTGACTAGTATGCAGAAGGCCCTAGGTTCAACCCTAGCACCATTAAACAAATAAACCAATAAGTAAATAAATATGTTACTTATCTGAGAGATATACTCTCAATATTAATATGTCTTATGGCTTTATGTACATTTAATTAAATTATACTTTAAACTTAAAAGCTGTGTTTTACAACTAATTTAAGTCAGGTTTTAAATATCCCAATATGATTGGCATTATAAGATTTTAATACTTTCTATACTCATAGTCTGTTTTATAAAATAACACAACAAAATGTGTGTTTGTCTCTTAGGAAGGTGAAGTGGTTGCTGTCAGTGGTGGAACATCTGAGGAGGAAGAGAGAGCATGGCACAGTGATGGCAGTTCTAGGTAAGTAAATGAACTTTTACTTATCCAAATGTTACATTTTTTCCTATGTTTCACTAGCAGTACATTTCAAAATCTCCTTGGGTTTAAGGTTCTTCTTCCGAGATTCTTTTGACTATCCAAAACTTAGGAGATTTTCATTCTGATGCCGTCTTTATTCAAAAAATTATTTTTAATATTACAGCTAGATCTGTAAAACAATATTTTTAACTTATCTGCTCCCTTGGTTTTGTATCTTCTGAATGTTATTTATAAACTAGTCTTGTTACTGATTACGAGAAATGTTTAAGCATCAAATTATGAAAGTCATGATAGCTTGTAGATTTAACTAGCTTACATGATGAATTTGTGGAATATTATTAGTAATAGTCTCGTCCAGCAAGGAGAATAAATTTTTCATTTGCTAATAATAAAGTATGCAGGTGAGGATTTCTTTAACTCCTTTTATTGGTGTTTCGTCTTCTTACAGGGCTAATAGCCTTGGAAGTCCTTGCCAGGTCTTAATAGCAAGAAGTATATAGGAATACACCCTTTGGGGGTGGTAATTATTACTAGCACCTTACACTTATTCCCTGTGTTAGTAGCTTTTACCAAAGAATCACCAAAGAAATTATAAAACGGAGGCCACAAGAATCCTGTAATATTGTAATATGAATTCTAGAGTCAAGTGCTTTCCTGTTCCCATAATAATGATACTTGGTAATGATATGCAAGTGCTTATGGTTATGTTTAGTAGTTTTATGTTATTGAAACAGGGCAAGGAAGGAAAAACTAATTCTTTTTTGGCTGAGTAATGGAAATAAGAGTATCACAAAATATGAAATAGCATTGCAGTTCTGTATTGAAAGAGCAGCAGTAGCTTTAGCAGTTCAGGATATTTGCTGTCAAGAGCATGGAATTTATAGCTATACTGATAGCAGATCTATAAGAATGGCAGGTGCCATTTACAGTGCCTGTAGGGTGGGATTAATGTAAATAAAATGCTCATGATTTGAGATTTAAATTCTTAAAAATGAATGTTAAGTTTAATAATGAAATCATACTTCAAAACCTCTTAGTTATTTGAATCTTTATGATTATTCTTGAGTTGATTTACGTAGATGACACTGGTGATGGAATAAAATCCCAGAAAAGTGTTTTTTCAGTGTTAGTGCTAAATTACTAGTTTTAAAGCTATGATGTCATACATCACTAAAACTAGGCCAACTAGTTATTGATTTTAACATAGTATAACTTTAGTATTATAAATGCCTTTAAGGCATTTCTAGTTACAAAGCTGTGCAAAATAAAGTACTTTCATGTGCAAAAATTAAAACAGAAGATAACAAAACTCAATTATTTTGCCACAACATCAGTTTAATATTAATAAGATATATGTCTGTGAAGATAAGCTGAAACAAAATGATAAAAGTGATTGATAATGGTACATAAGCTAGTAAGGCTATATTTTTTTGCAGTGTGGGATGTTTTGAAGCATCCCATGATAAAATGCATATGGTAAAATAATCTTATCTAAATTAAATTTCTTTAATTTTTTGTGGTGGTGGACTTGAACCCAGGGCCTCAGTATGTTAGGCAAACATTATCAGTGAGCCACACATACCCCAGCCCGAAATTTTTTTTTTTTTTTATTGGCACTGGGGTTTGACCTCAGGGCCTCATGCTTGCTCAGCATGTGCTCTACCATGGAGCCACTCCACCAGCCCTTATTTGTGTTGGGTATTTTTGAGATTAGGGTCTTGAAAACTATCTGCCTGAAGCTAGTTTTGAACCATGATCCTCCTGAGTAGCTAGGATTATAGGAGTGAGCCCCAGCACCTGCCCAAAATTGTTTTACATGCTCAATAAAGTTGATAAGAACAACCTTTTTACTACCTAGGCACACTTTTGACCCTGTCAGTTCATTATCTGGCTACCATGAGACCCACACTGCTAAATCATTGGTTAAGAGGTGCTAGCTTAGTTTGGGGTTATAGGTCAATGGCAAAGGGTTTCCCTACTATGTGTAAGGCCTTGGGTTCAATACTTAGCACTGCAAAAACAACAAAGAATTCCATGGCTTTCCTCACAAAAGGAATTCCCTCTGTCTCCTAGTTAATGACACCTGGTGTGTTCCCCAAGGCTGTTTTCTTCTGTTGTTTGGATTAAAGGTGATTCTCCATTCCTTTTTTTTTTGTGTACCCCACATTATTTCTCACATATGTAAAACTCAGAAATAAGTGTTTCTCTTAAGATCATATGAGGTACTTAAATTTGTTTTTATGTTTTGTGACCTTTATTTATCTTTCTCTTTTTTTTCTTTGAGATATTTAAGTAAAGCCTAAAGAATTTTAAGAAACTTTTGAAGATGAAATTAGGGTAATATTTTTTAGTTCATTCAGTATGTGCTATTCTATCATTTCTCTTAATTACGATATTTATTTTCCTCTTTATAAAACAAAATCTTAAAGCTATATCCTACTAGACACATATTTTTAAAATTGTTTTTCTCCTAGTGACTACTCCAGTGATTACTCTGACTGGACAGCAGATGCAGGGATTAATTTGCAGCCACCAAAAAAAGTTCCTAAGCATAAAACCAAGAAAGCAGAAAGCAGTTCAGATGAAGAAGAAGAATCTGAAAAACAGAAGCAAAAACATATTAAAAAGGAAAGGAAAAAAGTAAATGAAGAAAAAGATGGACCAATATCACCAAAGAAAAAGAAGCCCAAAGAAAGAAAACAAAAGGTTGTTTTTTAAAAAATTATAAATGAGTATTCTGTCCTATGAAAATTACTTGAAGCATACATTTTTAAAGTGTAATTGAACATAAACATTGTTGAGGTATATTAACAAGTAATCGTAAAAAAAAACTAAAGTACATTGTAAAATTAAATATATAAAAGTATATTTGCACAAATATTTAGATGTTTAACATGAAAGAGTGCTTACTTAGAGATTACCATTTAATCTTAACACATGACCAGATTTTTCATGACAGTCCAATAGTTCACATATTCATGTAAAAAATACAATGCTACAAAACAAGAGCTTGCTTTTATATTTAACCATGGTAATTGTTAGTGCTAAAAATCTAGCGGGAGCATCACATATAATATGAATGAGAAAATTTGTCATAGTTGGCCACAAGGCAGAAATCTAAAGTTGGGTAAAATAAGCTTGTTGTAACAAGTTTTCATAATTACATAGTGTTCAAGCCATAATTTTTCAATCCTTAGGTCACTAATAATATCGATTTGATTACTTTATGTTAAGTATACAGATAACTTGAGAGAGAACCAAGAAAAGAAAGAAATAAGTATTATGGAAAGATCTGTCCCTTTTATGGAGTTGAAATTCTTTAACTGGGAAATAAAAATAAGATCTGCTAAATTTTTGCACTGAAGTACATATAATATGAGGAACATGCTTTTTGCTCTCTAAAATACTGTGAAATGGAAGCATATTTGGGTAAACAAATGGAAGGCTTCCTTAGAATTAAATATAAGTTGCCATTTGTAGAATTAAATGCTAGTGTGCTGTTGCCTTTATTCTCAGAGAGCTTTGAAAAGTATAGGAATATATCTGTCTTGTTTTAACCTTTTGTTTACATTGTCTGAGTTCAGGTTTATTTCAGCTTTATAATTATGAGTTACTTTAATTTGGATTTGATAGCCACTTTTCTTGTTATTTCTTTTCTGGAGAAGTTTTATCAAAGAGAATGCCGTATTTGACCACAGGTTTTCTCCTTTGTCTTGGGAGTTATGATAAATGCAGTCAGAGCTATTATATCATGTGGTAGACAGATGAGTTAAAATAAAACTGATTTTAAGCCATGTATCTGGATAATAAGGCAAATTTTCTTTTTCAGCTTAGTACAGTTTTGGTGAGCTTTTGAAGGCTTGTTAGTGATAAGTCAGTATGAGAACTGATCACAAGATTACAGTTTGCTTCACCTGGTGCCCCTTGGAATGATGGTTGTCTCCAGCTAATATCATGGGTTACTACATGTAGTGCCACATTTGGATCTGCAGTTAATTGTTCAGTATATTTTAATTTCATTGCTTTGCTGTGTCAGAGTATTGCAACAGGATCTGTTTGTAGGACATACTTTAACCAGGTTAGGATATTAGAGACTCTTCCCTTTAGTTTAAATTTTGTTCCATGCCTACCAGTGGATCTACCAGTATATAGACTTTTTCTTACCACTTAGTCTTAAAGTTATATCAAATAACACAATAGTATTTCTCTTCTTAGTCATAAAGTTGGAAAACAACTGAGAAATTATTTAGTAATTAATGTGTTAGTGCATGCATGAAAAAATGAAAACATTTTCTATATGACTTAATTCTTTTTTAATTAAGCAAAAAAACCAGTAAAGCAGATACAGAAAATGCTAATTAAAAAATTTCTTCAAAGATACAGTAAACTCATCTCAGGTAATTAATATATAAATCTCAAGTGATTTTTATATGTAATACATCTTATGTTGTTAGGAGCTCTGGAAACCAGAACAATAATATTTATGAAGTCCATATAGTTTATAAAATAATATAGGTAAAAAGAAGTATAAGACATAGTACTTATTCTAAAAATGATGTGTGACTAATGAGATGCTTCAGTGCCCCAGGATCTAATAATATACTTAATTGGTAGATTAATTTTAGAGATAATTACTCAGAAATCAAACGGGGTCTGGCACCAGTGGCTCATGCCTATAATCCTATCTACTCAGGATGATTGTGGTTCAAAGCCAGCATTGGGCAAATAGTTCATGAGACCCGATCTCAAAAATACCCAACACAAAACAGGGCTGGCAGAATGACTCAAGTGTTAGAGCACCTGCCTAGCAAGTATGAGGCTCTGGGTTCAACCCCCAGTACTGCCAAAAACCAAAACCAAATGCAAATGGAAGTATCTTTTGTTAGAGTTTCATATAAAGTTTCTAGAAGATAAAAGATTTGATTTGGGCCTAGAAGGTTTCTCAAGGGTGGGGGAAAAAAATCAGTTCACTATACATCCAAAATAAGAAAATTTGAAATCATAAGCTGGAGATTTTGAGAAACACTCAGTGTGTCTTAAGCCCTTAATAGTCTTTAAGTACTAAGTGACAGAAATCTGCTCTAACCAAAAATTCTAGTTTCTCCAAGAGTTACTGTGTAATGAAATTTGTCCTCGTAATGATTCTTGGTGATGCCAGAGTCTTAAGGTTACAAATATGGTTATTACTCTTTAGTGTACATCTTAACATTTTCATGTAAAACTTACTAGCTATCTCAGTCAATATAAGGTATTTTCTTAATAGAAATACTTGCTTAGTACAATCAGTCGTCCATATTTAGCCTGAAATTATGATTTTCTAAAAGGAAACCTGAATTTTCAAACAAACTTTTGCTCAGAACCTTAATATGTAAAACTGATAAAATTCGAGCTGTTCTGAATAAAATACAATGGAAATTCCTGGCTTTGGGGGTCTGTGTTAGTAACCTTCCTACCACTATGATAAACATTTTCTGTGCAGGGCCAGCTACTCCACTATTTATAGCTCAAAAGAAGCCACAGACAAGTGGACATGTCTGTGTTCCAATAAAATTTGACTTATAAAAATAGTCATCAGGTTGGAATTGAACTGTGGACCGTGATTTGCCAATCCTTTTGTTATAATATGTTCAGAGTGATCCTTTTAAAATATATAAAACAGAGAATAACACTCTACCAAATATTCTCCAATGATGGCGTCTCACTTATAGCCAATGTATCAAAGGTCTGTACTTTCCCTTGCTCTCCAAGATGAGACTGCTCCTGATATGTTTCACTGAGAAATAGCACATGTGGTTAATAGGAAGAAGAAGAAAGTGTATATTGGGAAACAACTGTAGAAGGATGTGCTGCAAATAGTGTTCTCTGATACCATAATGTTAGGAGGATAAAGGTTTTTAGTCTATTTTATCAATAATAAATAGTCTACTTTATTAAAAATAAAGGATTGGGCTTGACAATATTTCATTTTAAAAAGTTCTGATTTTATTTTTTGGGGAGGGTAACAAACTTAGATTAGCCAAGAATAAAATGTATAGTTTAAGAAAAGGCCATTTACAAGTATAATGTCTAGTTCATGGAAATATTTAGTTTTCTATATCTGTAGTACTATTTAACCCATATGAAAATAAAATCTAGTTCTTACTAATACAGCAAGACTAAGATTTTAGAAAAACTCAATTCTTTATTTGATACTGGAATTGTTTATAAAATTGATAGTATCTTGACAGGGGAGGAGATTATATAGAGCTTGAGCTTTAGGGTTTGTGGGAATGTTGTCTGTAGATTTTGGTTTTACAGTCTGTAAACCCTTTTTTTCCGTGATTGGGATAAGTTGAATAACTCTACTATGGCTACTGCCGTAATTTCCACAGTATTTAATGTTTAAGAGTAAATATGTTTCGCCCGGGCATGATGTTGCTCACTGTAATCCCAACTACGGGTAGGAGGATAGCAGTGCTAGGATAGCCTAGGCAAAGTTAGCCTAAGGTCCTATCTGAAAAAGAAAAATAAACTAAAAGCAAATGGTAGAGCACTTGCCTGTGAGTTCAATCCAAAATTTTTGAACAGAGGTCTTTTCCCCTTTTCTTTAACTATCTCTATGATGCTTTTATGATAATATTACTTTATAATGTCCCAAACTTCCTTAGAGATTGGCTGTGGGAGAACTAACTGAAAATGGTTTGACATTAGAAGAATGGTTGCCTTCGACATGGATTACAGATACTATTCCTCGAAGATGTCCTTTTGTGCCACAGATGGGTGATGAGGTACTTTTAAACTTTTAAATTATCCTTTTTTCCCCCCCAACTAATAACTCATGAAGCATATCTCTGGAAAATTGCAGCAAGTTCATAAAAATATCTCACCCTTGATTTGATATTCGATGTATAGGGAAAGTGTTAATGATAATCTGTTTTTTAAGACTACTGTAAATATTGAGATAATGAATCTAAATATTGTAGGAGAGTAGAAACTTTGCTGTTTTAAAAAACAGCATTTATTTTTTAATAAGGGAATTTTATTGCTAGTCTTTCCTAAATTTTATTTTTCTTATATTAAAAATTAAGTACATAGCATGTTAAAGAAAAATGAAATGTAGTACATTATTTTTATTTAATTTTATATGAGAAGTGTCTGCTTAACTCATGTGTTCTTAAGATCTGTACTCTTAGAAAAGAGATAATCTTTTTTTGGAGCTGGGTTTAAATCTAGTGTCTTGCACATGCTAGATGACTACTCCCTTTCCAAGCATTAATTCCAACCCCTATTTGATTTATTTAAGAAGCTGAGATTGGCACCATTATTTTAGACTGTGTATTTATGAATTTAGAATGGATATAAGAATTTAGATCAAAATTTCTTATGGTCATACCTCAGTTTATTCACATAGGTAATGTTATCTGTGTTCAAAGAGTGATAATAATAAGGTAAGAGTTACTGTGCTTTAGCAAAAGCACACTAATTAGTAATAGTATATAAAGTGATAACTGACAGTTTTTAACGGAAAACAAAAATTTTTTTAATGCAACAATGACTCTTAAAGAACAGCATGGAGTAATTTATTTAGAGACCCTTCTTGCCTTGGAAGGGTCTAGAGATGCTCAGCATTATTGCATTGTTGTGGTATAATACAGTGACAGGTCCTAACAGATCCTACAACATTAAAAAGAGGCTAAATTATGGTTAATAGAGTATTTCAGGATGGCCTTCAAGTCTGTACTTCTTTACTGAGTGATGTCCTTTCAATTATTTGTCTTTTTAGTTGCTGGTGCTTGAATAGATAAAAATTTTGCTACACAGCACCATTCCTACTTCACCCACCCACCCAATCACCACAACCCTGGGCCTTGCTGGGGATCAAACCCAGTGCTTTGTGCATGCTTGGCAAGGGCTTTTACCAGTGAGCTATATCCCCAGCCCTTAAACGATTCCTTCATTTGAAGTTCCAGATAACTGGAGCAGTAATGAATAGAATGAAAGTATGTAGGATAGCAGATCCCAAAATGGTACCAAGAATTTAGTAGCATTTGTTAATAAGTTCTTCTATTTGTTAGTAATGAGAAGAGTACTTGATGTTAGACTACGGTGTTCAGGTACTATTTCTGCAAGACATTTGTGAGGAATCACTTAAATTTGATCTCAGAAAATGAGGATAAATAATATATGCTGTGTTGTCTTATTAAGATTTATGTGCTAAGGATCAAGTTTGACAAAATACATAACATACATTTTTCATTTTAAAGTGTTCTGCATGTGTATAAACTACTTGCTTAAAAAGTAAAAACTGAAATATGTGAACATAAATTTAATTATGATCCATAGCTCCCAAAGAGCTTATTTTATTATGCAGCATAGATTAACTCATTTTGATTATAAGAATAAAATGATGAAATTAAAAATATCTGCTCATTTTAAATTTGTAAGTATATGTTCAGTGTTATTTACAATACTTTGGTTATGATTAAGTAACTTTAAGACAACTTGGGAAAGGAGGAAAAAAATCACTATTAGAATTTCTGTAAGCTCAAAGGACATTAGATTATTCTCTGCAATTTTAGCTGATACCTTGCGTCTTGGAGACATACCCAGGTTTTAAAATTGTGACATTGCTTTTTAGGTTTATTATTTCCGACAAGGACACGAAGCATATGTTGAAATGGCCCGGAAAAATAAAATTTATAGTATCAATCCCAAAAAACAGCCATGGCATAAAATGGAACTACGGGTATTGCATTGATTTATTACTTAACATAGAAGATGCATTTATGGATTAAGGAGAAAATTGTAACAGAGTTACTATTTTCATTGTAAAAAACTTTGTCATTAAAGTGCCTTATTTAATTGAAACAATCCATGAAGTAGAAGATGCTTTTATTGTCTGATACTATTTACAATTTGTGTACAAAATTTGGTTATAATGAAAATTAGAAAACACTAATGTCTCAAGTAAACTTTATATTTGTAAATTTGATGAGTATGTTTTGATGTATCAGCTGTAATTCAAAATTATCTAGGTTTTTGGAACTATGTTGGAAAACTTACACTCTTTCAAAATTGCAGTGAAACCTGCAAACTATAAAGTATAAAAATCCTGAGAACCCATATCAAGGAATTTTTAGTAAAGCATGTAGAAGCAAGATCAGAACCAGGAAATGTTCGCTCAACTATGTTTAGTAATCAATTTTGTGGTTTATTTTGTAACAATGATTATTTATTTTCTTTATTTTAGGAACAAGAACTGATGAAAATAGTTGGCATCAAGTATGAAGTGGGATTACCTACCCTTTGCTGCCTTAAACTTGCTTTTCTAGACCCTGATACTGGTAAACTGACTGGTGGATCATTTACCATGAAGTAAGAACTGTTGAAAGAGGCAGTGGTTTCTTAGTGTTGTAGTATTTTTCAAGATTCGATAAATTTGAACATGTTTTAGATATTTTTAGGTATGTGACCTAATCGGTTTGTTTCTGTTTGTAATTAGATACCATGATATGCCTGATGTTATAGATTTCCTAGTCCTGAGACAACAATTTGATGACGCAAAATATAGGCGGTGGAATATAGGTGGGTAATGTATTCAGAAGCCATAGGTGTTTGGTGTGTCTTTTTTTCCTAATAAGTGATTTACTGTTTTTCATAATTTAGAAAAAGATAATTAGAAAGGTCTTCTTCCACTTGTAGCATGTTAATATTAAAGTGAGATACTCTATCAGATATATTTTTAAGTTTTAAGATTAAAAATGCTTTATCCTAGTTGATGCTTAAATTTTATTTATCTTACATTTGGTAATTGTGATGGTATTATTTATAATTGTAATTACTTACAACTTTTCCTTTTGAGTGTTTTAGTGGGTTAATTAAATGTTTATCAAAAAATATTAATAGCAGTTTATATTGAAAGCCAAAAGAAGCCTTAATAAAATGAGTAATTTGGGGCTAAAGTTAAATTGGCTTTTTCATTATTAGTAACTCCATTAGAAACTAAAAATTATGAAAGTTCCCAGGCATTTAAAATAATCAATATACAAATGGATGTGATATTCATTAAATAGTTCTCTTAATTTCAAACAAGGCCACTGTTTGTCATGGTGAAAACACATCAATGTGTGCCTCTCCTTCAGTACCATTGGAGGACACTGGCATGGTGATTTGTCTTCTTAGTCAGCCTTGGTAAACTTGATTTAAAAAAACAAATGAAGGGAGGGAGTAAACCAAGGCAAGGAAAAATAGAGACTTCCCTTAGGAAACATGGTCTAGAACAGGAAAAGCCAAAAGAATTTCTAGGTAATAACCAGTCCAAAAGAGATTTTCCTCCAAGAGGGAAGTCTTCAGGGGAGAAAAAGTAGAAAACTACATCTAAAGAATGGTTTTTCTAACTTGAGCTGTTACAGAGTATGGATTTAATCATAAATTCATAGGAAAGCAAACATTAAAAATTGATACAGCTGTTAATTTGAGGATAATCAAAATTATGCTTAGTAGCAAGCAATATTTACATTGTCATGATAAAATTGACTATGGATTAAATATAGCACACAATACCTTTATATATATACAATTATATTGATAGAGGTCAATACTTAATCTTAAAATGTTGATGAGCAAATCAGATTTTATTTATTTGTTTGGTTATTTATTTATGATACTGGGGTTTATACTCAGGGCCTCCTGATTGTTAGGCAGGCACTTTACGACTGAGTCATGCCCCTAGTCCTATTTTGCATTGGTTATTTTTGGAATAGGGTGTTACATTTGTGTTTTTGCCCTGGCTAGCTCCAGACTGTAGTCCTCCTACCTATGACTTTCCACATAGCTGGGATTATAGGCATGTGCCACACCTGTTGAGAATGAGATCTTGCTAACTTTTTGCCTGTACTGACTTTGAACTGTGACCTCCAGATATCTACCTCCCAAGTAGATGGGATTAGAGGCATGAGCCATTGTGCCTGGCCTGAAACAGATATTTCAAATGAATAAACACTAGAATTTTAGCATTTAGATCTTACAATGTTTCTGTATTAATGGCTTAGTATTTTTGCTGAAGTTAGTACTTGGTTAGTACAGTATTTTATATCTTAAGTGAAATGTGTCCACCTACAAAGTGCCATTTAAAATTAAATTAATAGTAATTTTTCTTTTAGTAGCCTTTCCTCATAAATATTTTAAGGCTTACTCTGATTCTTTGCTTAAAGTCACTGTTATTGTAAGGATACTGTTTGTATGGGTATGGTTAAGCATGCATTGCTAAGTTCTTTTTCTTCACTGTAATGTTATTAGTCTGTAGGGTCATCATAATGTTCATAGTAAAGTTATGGGATCAAGAATGCTCATTATTATAAAATAGCTTCTCTCAGCTCAGTGTCATCAATAAGCATCTCAGGGACACTTAGAGACTCTTAATCTAATATCTCATGTTTCTCTTTTAATGTTGCTCGTTAAAATGCAACTGATTCAGATTAGTTGGTAGCCTGATTTATTTTTCTTTAACTCTGTTACAAATGAAAAAGTAGCTAGATATAAAGCATTACATATAAACTACCCTGAGGTAGATGTTACTTTTATTTCATAGACAGGAAAAATGATTCAAAAGTAACTAGTTAATGCATTCAAGGATACAGATGCTGTATTTGAACCCAAGTCTTTCAGACTCTTGCCTGTGCTAGCCAAAAGAAATCTCAGTACTGTGAAAGCCAAGGAAGGGGCAAACATACATAAAGAGAGAAAATGTCTTCCAGTTTTCATATGACTCAAAGGGAAGCCGAGAAGATTTAGATAAGAAAAGGCCATAGTAAGCATTTGCAGCTTATTGGGGTCTTTGAAAATACGAACAGCTTAATACGACAGAATGATTGCAATTAGAAAAAGAAATAGACAAAAGTTACATGACCATGTTCTCCATTTTACATTTTTTTTTTTTCATTTTTGTTTGTTTCAACAGGAAAGGGAGTGTGAGTGTATACCTAGGAGTAACTGAGATATAGGAGGGCAATTTGGGGTTTTTTTTTGTGTGTGTATGGTAGTGGTGGTGGTGGTACTAAGGTTTGAATTCATGGCTTTGCAGTTGCAGGCTCTACCACTTGAACCATGCTCCCAGCCCTTAGCCTAAGGTCTTCACTATTTTTGGTTGTGGAATATTGCATACACACAGTAAGAAATCAAAGATAGACTGTAAATAGTTGTTGAGCAGAAATTCACTTGAGTGAAAAATTTGGGCATAGTCCTAATGATGAATTTAAAATGCTTGATTTGCAAAAGTGAATTTCTCATACCTATTGAAATCTAAGAAATGGGATTTGAAATTGGTAAGCCATACTTCAAGTGTGCTTATTAAATACCATTGTTTCTGTCCCTCAATATTGTTGATTTTACTTAATTTTTGAAACGTGCATCACTTTTCTGTCTCATGAAAACACACAAGCAGTTTAAGCACCTTAGAGTTATATTGTAGGAAAAAAACACTTTGCAACAGCAACAATACATGTCAGAGTAATGAAATGGCTTTTGTTCTTGTCCAGGTGACCGTTTCAGATCAGTTATAGATGATGCCTGGTGGTTTGGAACAATTGAAAGCCAGGAACCTCTTCAACCTGAATACCCTGATAGTTTGTTTCAGTGCTATAATGTTTGGTAAGATAATACTTGTTGTATTTTTAGTTAGGCTAGCTTGCTTTGAATTTTTTCCCATCTGGTAATAAAGAGATACTTTTAAATATTAATGTAATTGTTGTATCATGTGATTTTTTTTTAATTAAAAAAATGCATCACAATAATCTTAATGTAAGAATTTTCCTTTTTTAAAGCTGGGATAATGGAGATACAGAAAAAATGAGTCCTTGGGATATGGAGCTTATTCCTAATAATGGTAAGTGTGAGTTAGGCCATTTTACATATACCTTATGGAGTTAGTTCCTTAAATAAGAAAACTGACTTGCTAACTTGCTAGCACATTGTAGTCATGAAAATCAAATAGAAAATATTTATTCAACAAATACTTATTATATAGCTATTATTGGTTCCAAGGGGTAAGGTAGGCTCAGTGTGAGCAAGATAGACAAAATTTTTGCCCATTTGTAATTTAAAATTAATTAATTTGAAATTGAAATTAATTGATTACAGCAAAATGTGAGCATTTTACTAATTATTACTCATCCTTTAAAAAAATGAACTCTGGGGAGAGAAGATACTTTTATAACTAGTAGAATATCAAAGAATAACAGAATAGCTACGAGGTAAGACTATTGTTTTTTAACTCTTTTTTTTATTTATGTGCATTAATAGTACAAAGGTGTTTCCTTGTGATAATTCCATGAGTGCATACAGTAGAGACTTTTGAGTCAGATGTAGATGTATGTCCTTGCCCTGCCATACACTGTGATCTTGGAAAGTTACATGAAGTCAGTTTCGTAGGACACAGGTTATGATAATATAAACAAATACCTTTGTAATAGGGCTGCTTATTTTAGAGCCTGACACTATGACACACACAATGTAGATGCCTAAAGAGGATTAAAACAAAACAGGTTATTAATAATGATTGTAGTCAGTAGGATTATGGGAACTTCATAGATTATCTTTTACATTTTTCTGTATTATTTGATTTTAATGTAATCCTTTGCCATCTGATAAAAAGAGTCTTTTTAAAGCAAAGAAAAATATCTTATTTGTAACATAGTAGACGTAATTATTTTTAAATGGAACTGCTGAGTTGTTAAAGTTCTCTAAAAACTAGAGAAAAGGTAGCTGTTGGAAAAAGTAAACCGAGTCTGAGAAACCTTAGAAATGAGGAAATTGTCATTATATTTGTCTTAAAGTTTGTTCCTTGCAAAAAACTGTCACATTGAAATTTAATACCAATAGTTTTCGTCTCTCTGCTAAATTAGAGATGTTTAAAGCTACAAAATGTCTTTACTTATAACCATGTCTTTATCTTCTGGTTTTCTCTCCTTTGTTGAAATTTGAATTTGAAGTCATATTGGACTATGGTGACTTTAATAATGGGGCTATCAAGAGGAAATGAAATTAGTTGACATAGTAATAGGTTAAATATTTTTTTAAATGAAATAGTTATACTGATTTACTATTTTGTTTCCTAATCTAAATGTATCTCTGTGTGTGGAGATGGGAACAGTTATTTCTGTTCTATTAGAATATGCATACAAATGTATACTTAGAGTTTAATTACAGAGTGAGGAAGAAGTATTTTGATTGTACACAAAGTAGAATGTTTCTCTATCTGATGAAGTCTAGTCTAAAGGAAATATTCCCTGGCATGCTTATGGATTTTGTATCATCACCACTGTCTAATGATTATCTTAGCTATAAAGATTTAAGACATGTAAAAAAAATAACCTTTATCACTTCAGAGTAAAAAGCATCTGAATCATCTGTCAGTGTTAATAATTCTCTTTGTTTCTACATTAGGAATTTGAATCTACAATTAAAGTATTCTTGGAAATTGCTTTCTTTAGTTGAGTTTCACCTTGTGTATATTTATCAAAATAAATATGGTAAATAAAACATGATTCAGAAACTTTAAAATTTCTATCTCTATAGAAATGTTTTCTTTCACCTATAACTTGATTGTAGAGCAAATTTTCAGGCATAATTTTGGAGAAGTAATTATAATCACATAGAGAATCATTTTTATGTGTAATATCTTTTTAAAAATAAATTATTGGCTGGACATGATGGCTCACACCTGTAATTCCAGCTACTTGGAAGACAGAGATTGAGAGAATTATGGTTTGAGGCCATCCCAGGCAAAAAGCTAGCATGACCCCATCTTAATCAATAAGCTGGGCATGGTAATGTGTGCCTGTCTCACAAAAACTAACTAAAGCAGAAAAGACTGGGGACATGGCTTAAGGGGTAGCGTGCCTGCCTATCAAGTGAGAGAGTGACTGAATTCAAGCCCCCGTACTGCTAATATTATTGACCCTTGAAACCTGTTTTCCTTTATAAAAATAAAGGATATATTTAACAAATCTTTATAAAATTATACTTCATGTTGTGAAAACATCAATTCTGCTTTTTAAAGATAAACTGAAACACTAATTATTAAACATTTTCACAGATCTGCTTTTCTGTCTGTGTTTCAGCTGTATTTCCTGAAGAACTGGGTACCAGTGTTCCTTTAACTGATGTCGAGTGCAGATCATTAATCTATAAACCTCTTGATGGAGAATGGGGTACCAATCCCAGAGATGAAGAATGTGAAAGAATCGTTACAGGAATAAACCAGTTGATGACACTAGGTAAATAACAAACAACATGTAAGATAGGAAATGCTGTGAGAAAGCAAACTGAAGGAAAAATACTATTAGTCAAAATTATTTTCTACATACCATGTCAGTATTCTCACAAACTTTCTTTCTTTTTTTTTTTTTAATGAGTCTTACACAGGACTTAAATATTTAAAACAATTATAGATAAGGTTACTATAGCTGAATTTCAGACTAAGGGCCTCTGTAAATGTCAGAAGTATTTGAAAAATCTGGGTCCTCCACAGCAAAGCCTTGATATATCTATGATGAATTGGAAGAAGAGTGTTGAAAGCTGAGTTTTAATTATATAGGTAGCTGTACTAGTTTTCCTCCACCACCTTACACACAAGCAAATCTTTGTAATGGGAAAGAAGAAAGGTGTAGGAACTGATTTTCTTCATGTTTTAAAAATGAAAAAAGTAAACAATGGCGACAGAACTTGATTATCTGAACTCTGGGTTCCTACAGTAATTCTACATTAGTATGGTAGTTTATAGCAGCCCACTCTAGGAATAGGAATCAACTTCAAAGGGTATAGAGAGAAATTAATATAAAGAAGTCTTTTCCTTGTGGAGTACTGAGGATAGAACACAAGGCTTTGTACATGGTAGGCAAACACGTCAATACTGAGCTACATCCCTAATCCTGAAATCTTAAAAAAATGGCAGCAATTTATTTTAAAAGATAAAAAGCCTTAAATGACATCTTAAATAATTAAATCAATCTTTTTAGTATGAAGTAGTTTTATTCATGAATGAGCAAAAATAATTGAGGAGTGATCTTAATTACGTCCTGGATTTTGATCATCTAATTTACTGTGCACTATTAAGTCAGTGACAAGAGTCAGAAACTTCTAGGCCAATTTCCTCCTCTCTACTTGCCTGTTGCTTCATAGAATAATGCAACTGATGAGATAAGGTAATGTCATGAAAAAACTCAGAGGTTTTGCTTGAGTGTAATGTGGTGCAGAGTTCATGATGGAATGGCTTTATCAAAAACATAATAAATAGATTCAGGATAACCAGCTATCAGTTATAGAAATACTTCTGCCTGTTCTTAATTGGTCAGTTTTATGTTTATCTTTCTTTATGCTAATGAATCTGTGAATAAAAAAATCTCTAGAATTTTGTAATGTAAATAGAGACATTATAAAAAGTAAAACTCATATCTTATTGAATGTATTTTTTATGAAAAGACTGGTTGACTAATGTCTGTAGAGGTTATGACTTACTAAGTCTTAATCCAAGCAGAAAATTTTTGTAATTATTTCAAACATGTAAAAATAAAATTACACACTTACTTGTTTTAGATGTTGCTTCAGCATTTGTGGCCCCAGTGGATCTGCAAGCTTACCCCATGTATTGTACTGTGGTGGCATATCCAACAGATCTAAGTACAATTAAACAAAGACTGGAAAACAGGTTTTACAGGTTAGAACCATTTCATGTTCTAATACTAAAAGAGAGCTAAATGATCCTTTCATCTACACTTAACTTTCTATAGCAGTGTGTCAGTTTTATGTGTATACAAATGCACATATGAATCACCTGGGGGTCAAGTTAAAATGTAAGAAAGATCTGATTCAGCAGGTTTGGAGTAGGAGCTGCTATTTCTTACAAAGCTCCCTGTAGTGCTGATGCTGTTTACTTGTAGATGTGTTTTGAATACCGTTCTTGCAGGTAGCTTTTTCTAGATGTGATGTGATTTGATGTTCACTTCCATCATTCTCCTAGATGATATTCTGATAGTATTAATGGGTTTTTCTTTAAATATCAAAAATTAGGTACCTTATTCTTATTTTGCTTATATTTAGTGTATAAATACTCATGAAAATACAATTAGAAAAGATTCAGTTTTTTAGAGTTTTAGTTTAGTGTGAAATAGAACTAGAGTTAAAAGCTATAGAATTTTGGTTTTAAATTGTGCACACGTATTTCTAAATATGATGAAGTTAAGACTTCTATATATATGTATTTTTTTTAAGGCGGGTTTCTTCCTTAATGTGGGAAGTTCGATACATAGAGCATAACACACGAACTTTTAATGAACCGGGAAGCCCAATTGTGAAATCTGCTAAATTTGTGACTGATCTTCTCCTACATTTTATAAAGTGAGTTGTCTATTCATACTTAATTGTAATAGTTGGAATAAGTAATGTTACTTTAAAAACTAAAATAATTTAAAATACAAAATACCAAAACATAGAATAAAATCATTTTTTATATACATAATGTTGCATGCTGTCATGTAAACATAGTTCCTCTCAAAATAGAACGATTGTGTTTCAAGAAAAAAAGTGAAGAGTGGTGGCATATGCCTCTAATCTTACCTACTTGGGAGGTGGAGGCAGGAGAATCACCATGGTCAAAAGTTAGCAGACCTTACCTTTAAAACAAGCTGGAATGGTAGTATACTTCTGTGTCCTACCTGCTCAGGAGGTAGAGGTAGTTGGATGGCAGTTAGAGGCCAGTTGGGTCAAAAGCACAAGAACTTCCTGAAAAACCAACTAAAAGCAAAAGGACTTGGCCAAAAGTACATACTCTATCAAAAATATAAAATAAGGATTTGGGTACATGGCTCAAGTGGTAGAAGACTTGCCTTGCAAGTGTGAGACCTTTAGTTCAAACTCCAATAACCTCCCCACCCCCAATAATAATTTAAATTGGTGAGATAGAGACTGTATGAGTGGAGGTCATGGAACTATATTGCTAAATATTTGAGTTGGGGCCAGATCATGGTGGGCGGGTCTGTCTGTCTTTCTTTTCTTTTTTTTTTGGTATTGTGGTTTGAACTTGGGGCCTTAAGCTTGCTAGGCAGGTGATGTACACTTGAGCCACTCTGCCAGCCTGGTGAATGAGTTTTGAGTGCCAACCTAAGAAATTTTTAAGATAACGAGCTCTGGGAGCAAGGATATATTAAAAGTAGTTTAATGTGAGCATAGCATATTTTATACATAAAGTGTATGAATTTGACTACAGTGTTTAATAATTTATAGAGAAGAAACATGGAACATAAGTCTTTACTTGTTAAAATGAAAAAAAGGCAAATGCCAAGATATGTATGTTTTAACAGTAGATGTTTTGGGTGGGGTTTTTTGTTGTTGTCTTTAATTTAAGACAAGGACTTGCTGTATAGCCCAGGCTGAGTTCAAACTTGGCCAATCCTGCCTCAAACTCACTGAGTGGTGGAATTATAGGCATGAACTACCACACCTGGCTTCCATGTGACTTTTGAGGATAGAATTCATAGTCCTTGACTACTATTTGGGTTTTAAGGAGGACATAAAGGGATGGAGGAGTGAAAACCCAAGATTGCCATTATTTAAGAATGATATGCTGTTTAATTTTTTTTTTAAGTGAAAGTTTAAAAAAATGGAAGGTTAATAGGGTATGACAAGTTAGGTAAATTTTGGGTGATGGTATGGAGAAAGCTAAGGACAAAATTTTATGGAATATCTACATTTAAGATTTGAAGAAAGAAGGAACTGGAAGACTGTAGGTTATTGTCTTTACTGTGAGGACTAAGAAATAGCAGGTATCATTCCAGGCATAGCAGTGACCTGAGTAAAGACTAGAAGATGAGAATTGGGTTTGGTGTAATGAAACTAGACCAGAGTGAAGGCACTACAAAAAGTTAAGGAAGAGACAGGGTCTAATGTGTATAGGGAATTGTAGTCAGCAAATAAAGCAATAAGACAAAGTTTTATCTTAAAATTCAATTTTAGAAACTTTTAAAAATCTCATTCTAATCATATGTTACCATTGTCTTGTTATTTAGGGATCAGACTTGTTATAATGTAATTCCACTTTATAATTCAATGAAGAAGAAAGTTTTGTCTGATTCTGAGGTATGCAACATTTCATTATGATTTTGCTTGCTATTTTTATAAAAATAACACTGTAATTTTCATGTGAAAGATATTAAAATTATTTTTTGCTCGATATTACAGTTTACTATAAAACTTTTTTCTTGAATTTTCAGAATTTTCTTGTTGTAGTTACAGAAAATTAATGCATCAGTAAAGTGCTCCAGCATAAACATGAGTTTTCCAAAGTGTAAAGGGTATTTGACCAGTAAATTGTTGAGCGTAACGAAATCTAGAGTGTTTTATGAGTCTGATATATTTTTGCCTCAAAGGAAGAAGAGAAAGATGCTGATGTGCCAGGAACTTCTACCCGGAAAAGGAAGGTAATAGAGTTTCTGTTTTTGCAATAATACGTAATACAAACCATGATGTGTTAAGAACTTGTGTTTTACCCTTAGTTTTAAAGGCAGATTAAGTATTACTTTGAAATCAGTTTTAATCAAAATGCATATTTTTCTGAATTAGATGAGTAATATTTTATCTCAATTATTATAATATACAAGTTGGGCATTCCTAATGTGATAATCCAAAATTCAAGATGCTCTAAAATTCTAAACATTTTGAACACTGATATTCAAAAACTTTTGAATTTTGGAGCATTATGGTTTTCAGATTTTTGGGTCAGGGTTGCTGAGCCAGGAATGTCTACACAAATGTTCCAAAAGTTTAAAAAAAGCCACCTCAAACCTGACACACTTCTATTTCCACACATTTTAAATAAGGGATGGATGTTCAGTCTATCTAATTATCTAATACTCTGTTAAAAATACTGAGTTGTATTGTGAAGAAGCTATTTTATTAATATATTCAAACATGTTTATTTCAGGATCATCAGCCTAGAAGAAGATTACGTAACAGAGCTCAGTCTTACGATATTCAAGCGTGGAAGAAACAGTGTCAAGAATTGTTAAATCTCATATTTCAGTGTGAAGATTCAGAGCCTTTCCGCCAACCAGTGGATCTCCTTGAATATCCAGTAAGTATTTCTTATCTAATTTATAACATGTGGCTATTTGGTTATATAGAGAATGTGAATTGAATAGTGTGGTAAAATGGAAAGAACCATGAAGTAAGTCTTCACAAAGAATTGGGTTGTGTAGACTAATGAGAAAGAGAGAAGGTGGGAAGGAGGGGAAAGGAGAAAGGAAGGAAGGAAAATAGAATTCTGGAAACAAAATGTAATAATACTTCATCAAGCAGCTTTAGAAACATTTTATATGTCTGAAGAGATTATTAATGCAAAAATCTAAAGAAACTATAATGCCACACACAAAGAGCTAGAGAGGTGAAAAGTCTGGAAGAGAGATTAAGAGGTATGGTAGATAGAGGCAAAATGTCCCAGTAGAAATTTCCATGGGAGAGAGAGAGAATAAACAATGGGAGAGGAGCAATATTTGAGGAGCTAATGACTGAGAATTTTCTAGGGCTCATAAACATTTGACTAAATATGATCCCTAAGCATAGTATTTTAAGAAAAAACCTTTACCTAGAGTAACAAAGGACAAAAAGAAAAATGTTAAAATAGTCAACATAGAAAACGGAAGAGACCTGAGACAGTAGTCTGCCCCATTCATTAGTAAAATGAATGTTGAACTCAGATTTCCAGGATACATAGTTATTTACTAACTAGACCAAAATGAAAACCTATGTTTCCTATATACAGTGCACAAAATGTGATCTTCTTAGAGAATAAGCAAATCTCTCTTCCTTCCTCCTTTTTTCCCTTTCTTCCTCCCTTTCTCCTCCCTCTCCTTTTCCTCCCTCCCTTGTCTCTTTCTGTCTCTCTCCCTTTCTCCCTCCTGTACTGGAAGATGAACTCAGGACCTCATACTTGCTTGGTAGTCATTCTCTCTTTTTTTTTTCCTTTCATACTGGGGATTGAGCCCAGGGTCTTACACAGGCTAAGTGATTACTCTGCTTCTTGAGCAACACCTCCAGTCCTTGTTGCTTTTATTTTGTTTTATGAGACAGAGTCTAGCTACCCTTGCCCATATTGGCTTCAAATTTGGGATATTCTCCATTTCCCAGGTAGCTGAGATTATAGTCATGTACCTCGTTGTGTGGCTTAACAAATTGATTTCTATAAGGGAAACAGCCTATTTTTCAGACTGGAAATATATAAGAATGTAGTCAGCTAGCTCTTCAGTGTTCAAAATATTGAGAAGAGGTTCAGACATGGTGACCCATGCCTGTAATTCTACCTACCCAGAATGCATAGGTAAGAAGATTGTGGCCTATGCTGATCCCAGGCAAAAAGCTTGAGGCCCTATTAGTAGAGCCTAGCAAACACAAGGCACTAAATTCAAACCCCAGTATCACCAAAAAAATGATGGTGATAATGAGAAAAATATTTATAGCAAATATTGAGAACCTGTCCTCCTACAGAATGTAGCAGTAGCAAGACCAAAAAAAATTAATTTCTTCTCTGTTGTGGTACTCCCTTTGTAGAGGTATATTGCTTTTTGTTTTGAATAATCTGCTTTTTATACTTTAGAATAAATTATAACTATTCCTTCCTTTAATGGAATATTTAAGACAGATCATACTCTTCATACTTCAGCTTTTCTATGAAAATATAGTTCACATTTTGGGTTTAACTGAATAGTCAATGCAAGATATTGAAAATCAAAATTTTAAAAGTTAGTGAGACCCCTTTCTGATCAAGTATGCTGGACATGGTGGTATGCATGTAGTTAGAAGGATCATGTTCCAGGCTAGCCTGGGCAAAAGGTTAGACTCTATCTGTAACATGATCTAAAGCTGGAGGCATGGCTCAAGTGGTAGCTCATACCTAACAAGTGAAAGGCCCTGAGTTCAAACTGCAGTACCATTAAAAAACCAAATATATGAGAAATTAAAATTTGTGATAGAAATTAATAGTCTACACCATTCATTTATTCAACAGAGGTATATTGACCAGATACCATGTACTATATACTGGCTACCATGTACTGTATAGTGGGGGTTAGAAGCCCAAGAAGTGAGCCAAAAAAAATGAAGTGCTCTACATAAACAAACAGTTCTCATTTTTATATTTGCCCCAAATGTACAAAATTTGTAAAGATAATGATGTAATAATACTTATTATCTAAGTAATTATTACCCTAAAAGGGTAGAGAGGTTATTCATTAGTCAGCTGGCCAAAGGAATTTTGTTAGCACTACACCCCCTTTTTCTTTTAGGCAACTCTGTTAAAGTCTAGGTTGCAGCTTTTGAAATATCTTTTATTACAATGACAGTTTTCCACTAATGGTGAATTTAATATCTATAAATATCAAAATGATTTAGTCCATTAGGTGTGGTACACATAATACACTATTTTTTCCAATATCAGAATATTACTAGAAGGTACTAAATCTGATTTTGTGTGGCTTAAAAATGCTCTAAGTAATTTTATAGGGGAGACGTTTCAAAAGTGGTTAAAAGTAGTGTAGTTGGATTTTTGGAAAGATGGAATGGACATACTTTTCTCTATTCCTCCTACTACGTAGCATTAAAATTGTGGACATGATTCTGAAAGAGGGAGACAAGAAGGTAATAGACTGGGGACCTCAGGACCAGCATAGCAGTGAGTTCCCCAAAGTGCTTTCTAGCTTTATATATCCCATTCTAGACCATGGAGAAGCCATATACCTAAAACTGTTAATGAACACCATTGAAAGTCCTGAGGAACTTATGCTTTCTTTATCAAAACAGCCAGGAAAGAGGCAGCTGAGCAATGCAGAAAACTGGTAGGCATGAACTGCTATACTTCAACAAATACTATAGGGAAAGGGGCCCTCTTACTTTCCTCCTAGCAAAGGACAGTCAAGAGCCACCCTTTCTTTTGCAAATACTGGTGGAGACCATGAGGGGAGCAACCTGGAAGTGATGAAGTACCTCTCTGTTTCACTGCGGTGGTATCAGTGGGAGCCTAGTGATGAGTCCTGACTTTTCACCACCCTTAGTGGCAGTGGAAGCTATGTAGGGAACAGTATCAAGGTCCTTTCCCCTCCCAGGCCAGGTATTTTCAATGGAGTCCTACTAAGAGGTCTGAACTCCCATCTTTTCCCCTGCAATAACAAGGAAATCCTCCTCACTCCTTGTCTTTCAGTGGAAGGCAAAAAAGAGAATCTTTTTCCAAGGCAATACCCGTCCTCCAGCTCCCAAAAAGTAGAGTTAAAAGAGGCTTGTTAAAGTACAAGATTTTAAAAAGATCCATTCTTAACACCTAAAATGTGTAGGTTTTAGTCAAGAACCATTTACAGTTTCAAGAATTAGAAAGAGCTTAACCTGAATGAGAAAAGATAGTCAAGAGTCCAATACAAAAAAGACACAGATTGTTACAATTAAGTATTTTTAAGTAGCATAGCAAAAATGCTTAAGTAGTTAAAAATGTACCTGAAACAGATTTTTATTTATTTATTTTTTAAGATTTTAAAAGTACTAATTTAATATTGAGTATTTAGAAATGTGATATACATGAAACAGATTTTTAAAAGTGGAAAGTCTCAATGAAGAAATAAAAAGAACTCAAATATGACTTTCAATATCTTGTTTAATTGAAGCAAAATTTGTAACACTGTCTAGTATGATTCTGAATGTCTGTAAGTAGGTATATTAAAATACCTTGAACAACCACTTAAGAAGTGATACAAAGAGATAGGGTCACGTACACTAAAGATAAATCAAAATGGAATTCTAAGACCTATTCAAGTAACATACAAGAAGACTGGAAAAAAGTGAAAGACAGCAAAGCAAACAGAAAACAAAGCAAAATGATACATTCATTGAAATCATGTAGAGTGTGTTTTTTAATTATAATGAAATCAAGCTAGAAATCATTAACAGGAAAATCTCCTAACAAATACACATTTTGATTTGCATTTGGGGTTTTTGTTGTGTTTTGTTTTGTTTTTTGAGATAGGGTCTTTCTATGTAGTCTAAGCTAGCCTCAAACTCATAATCCTCTTGCCTTGCCTCTGAAATGCTGGGATTATAGTCCCTCACCACCTTCCTCAGCCAAACAACATACTTCTGAATGGTCCATGGATCAAACAAGTCTTGTGAAAAAAAAAATACACTGAAATCAATGAAAATGAATGATATAACATCAAAATTTGTAGGATGCACTTAAAGCAATGCAGGAAAATTTACAGCACTAAATGTACATTTGAGTACATCAGAAGTCTCAAATCAATATAATCTGGGCTCAAGAATCTAGAATGAAGAAGTGCAAAATAAACCAAAAGTAAACAAAACAAAGGAAATGATAAAAGGATATAATCACTGCTATTCAAAAGATGCAATACTCTTTGTCCTACTAAAATGTACCACTGATCATTTTATAATTCCTCTTTCATTTGTCTATTTTATGTTCCAATCTGTTGCCTTATTGGATATGTAGTTAACTAGGTAGAAACCTTAAGTAATTCTACTTTCCTTTGTGGAAGGAAGTGCAAAGACTTGATAACAACTATTTATGTTTATAATTCTTTTTTTTCTTTTATTCATATGCGCATACAATGTTTGGTGTTTATAATTCTTGATTACTGCAAAGTTCCTAATTGTGGCATTGAAGTTAAAGTTACTAGAACTCAAGTCTCCACATAAATGGGATGTTAGCTTACTTTCATTGTTTCTGTTTCTTCATTTTAAAGTTATAGTTGTGTTTCATGAGTCAGTATCCTTTAGGATTTATAGGCAGTATGAAATTTTTTACAAGAGTAATTAATAGTTCTGGGACTTATTATAACAATCCTACACAAATCCCTGTGCTGAGAAGTATTACTTTGTGGTAGTAATATTCATAATACCTAATAATAATACCTGTTTTCTCTCTCCTAGGATTACAGAGACATCATTGACACTCCAATGGATTTTGCTACAGTTAGAGAAACTTTAGAGGCTGGGAACTATGAGTCTCCAATGGAGTTATGTAAAGATGTCAGACTTATTTTTAGTAATTCTAAAGCATATACACCAAGCAAAAGATCAAGGGTATATAATTAAATTGTTTTTCTTTTGTGTTTAATTAAAAGTATGTTCAATCGCTAAATGTTTTTATTCCAAATTAGCAAAATTAACTTTGTTGTATTCTTAATAGCATCCTACTACTCCTTTCTTAGTACTTCCTTGAGCAACATTGATGTCATTCTTTGATGTTAAGAATGGTTACTTTTCTTGAGGTGTAGTTGATTAGATATTGTATACAGTTTGTCTTAATATACACTAGAGACATCTAGGCTTAACTCTTACCTATTTCCACATTAATGGAAAGAATTTTTGTGAATGGGATACAAAAATAAATAAAAAGTAAATATCATGTACCTCTCTTTGGCCAAACAAAACTTCACAAAAGGGGTGATGCCTGATAGTGAAATGCGAACAAATCCATGTTAGTCTTAAGGTAGCAATGAAAAATAGGTTTAAACCCTCAAGGATACCTTCAGTGTGATAGAGTTTACAATGAGGAGTTTTGTTTGTGTGAGCCACCTGAATTCAGAGAGCTAAAGCTTGGAAAATTTATAATCTAAATATAAAAATAATTTAATTGTAAAAAAATGTTTTAGTTTACTTTTCATCAGAAGAGATTGAGAAACATGAATATAAAAAGTAACATTTTAGTCCTAAAACAATGGTACTAGGAAATTATTTAAATTATATTTACTAAGGAGGCATTTTCTGCTAAAGAATGTTTGAACACCATTTTGTGGGTTTTCTTTCCATAGATTTACAGCATGAGTTTGCGCCTGTCTGCTTTCTTTGAAGAACACATTAGTTCAGTTTTATCAGATTATAAGTCTGCTCTTCGTTTTCATAAAAGAAATACCATAACCAGAAGGAGGAAGAAAAGAAATAGAAGCAGCTCTATTTCCAGTAGTGCTGCATCAAGGTACTTAATTTCTTTTAAATGGCATTTACTGATCTATAACTTTGTCATCTAAATGATAGAACTTGGTGTTTTTTTAATACTTCCTTTACTATTCCCTATATTGCAGAATGATATATTTGACATGCAAGTTCCTATGATGTGGAGGATTTTTAATCTTTTAAACTAAAGCTTTACTAGTGTAAGTGCTTAAATTCAAACTGCTAAATCTGTACAGTAAAACAGCATTTTTAGGATAGTGATGGCATCATGCTTTTTCATATAACTGTAGCATTTATGGTGGTCCTTCACTAAATATTCACTTTTCAAAGGCTCACAATCATATGAAATCCACTACAAATCTCATATTTTAACATATTTCATAATAGTAAAAATATTGAACCCACAGTATTATAAAACTGTTTTATTCATCCATAGAGAACTATAAGAATGACTTAACTGTATGCTCTTACTTACAGCCCTGAAAGGAAAAAAAGAACCATAAAACCCCAGCTGAAGTCAGAAATCTCTACCTCTCCATTATCTACACCTACAAGATCAGTACCACCAAGAAATAATGCTGCTCAGATAAATGGTAAAACAGAATCCAGTTCTGTGGTTCGAACCAGAAGCAACCGAGTGATTGTAGATCCAGTTACCACTGAGCAACCATCTACTTCGTCAGCCACAAAGACTTTTATTTCAAAAGCCAATACATCTGCAGTGCCAGCAAAAACAAGTAAGACAGTTTCTAAATTGAAGTGTGTATGATTTTTTTGTCCATTTAAGCTTTTAATTTGCCATAGGTTTTAAAAAGATTTTTAATGCAAAAAAAAAATGAGGTTTAGGAATATCAGTATAGAGTAATGCTTTAAAACAATAAACTGATCCAACCCCCTGAGTTTAAATCCTAATACCTAAACTTGCTAGTAACTTGCCAGGAGTTGCCTCCATGATATTGAACTGACTAGACAGCTCCTGAAAAGTAAAATGGCTGCAACTATTAAGAATTTCTAGTTGGATATGCCATTTTCTTATTAGAAAGTAGACTTCTTGGGTTGGGGATGTCACTCAGTGACAGAGTGCTTGCCTAGCATATTTGTGACCCTGGATTCAATCTCTAGCACTGAAAAAAAAAAAGTATGTTTCCTGAGGTTGAAGCCAGGTTTTATGCTCTTGGCTAATTCAAGTAGTTCAGGTTAGAAGAAAGCTTACGTTCAGCAAGTCTTAGCTTTTAATCTTTTGTATGTGTGTTTTAGTACTAGAGAATTCCGTGAAACATTCCAAAGCCTTGAATACTCTTTCAAGTCCTGGTCAGTCCACTTTTAGTCATGGCACTAGGAATAATTCTGCAAAAGAAAACATGGAAAAGGAAAAGCCAATCAAGCGTAAAATGAAGTCACCTGTACTTTCAAAGGCAGCCACTCTTTCAAAGTCATCAGCTGTCATTGATCAAGGTAAGTTGTTATTTTTTACTGGGCATGTTGGTACACACCTGTAATCTTAGCATGCAAGAGACTGAGGCAGGAGAATTACGGGTTTGAGGACAGCTTGGGCTCTGTAGTGAGATCCTGTCCCCCAAAATAAATATATTGCTTGTATCCTTTCAGAGATAGTAGATCCTTCTTACAAATAATGCTTTTCTTGCAGTTAGCCTTTATATGCACTTTTTGGATTGCCCATTTAAAAGTCACACAATCTATATTAGCTGATAAATTTAGTGAGGCATCCTTGGATTTGCAGTTTTGTGCCAAAACAAACTCTTTTGCCAATAAATTTTAAAAAACAGAAAAGAAAAGCTATGTGGAAGCAAAAGCGATTCTATTATTAAAGAGTGTTGTAAATTTGATTCTAACTTTGTTGTTATAAGACCTAAAGCAATATTCTTAAGTTTAAATTGGATTTGGTTAATCCAATTTAGCAGTCATCATTTTGCTAGAAAAAAATTTAAATTATTAATAGATCATAGATCACAAAACTATAACACACTGACCTCTACTAAATGGTATTCATTTTTTTCCTAATTAGGCTTCTATTTTAGCATATCGTTTTTGATCCCTTAAAATCAGGCATCCAAATTCTCTATAAAGTGCATATTTTTGTTGCAAAGGCTTTATGTCTGAAAGGTGGAGAAAGTGACTAGTAAAATTCACTAGAAGGCATGTTGAAACAATATGGACATGGTAGGGCACAGTGGCTCATACCCGTTACTCCAGCTACTAAGGAAGTGGAGATTTGAGGCCAGCTCAGGAAAAAAGTTAGCAAGACCCCCCCCTGGACAAATGTCAGGTGTCACCATAGATGCACACCTGTGATCCCAGCTATTTTGGAGGCTTTTAGGTAGGAGGATCATAGTCCAATTGTTGACCATAGGAAAAGATGCAAGACCCTATCCAAAAAAATAACTCAAGAGAAAAAGGCTTGGCTCAAGTAGTACAGTGGCTGTTTAGCAAACGTGAGGCCCTAAGTTCAAACCTCAATACTGCCCCCCAAAAACTTCTTATCTATCTGTCTATCTATCTATATGTCTATCAATCCATTTATCATCTATCTATCTGTCTATCTATGACTTCTTGGCCACCAAGAGCCCAGTAGGATGAATGCCATGGTAGTATTTTATATCATGACTTCCAAAAAGTGTGTCTAAAAAATCCTCACTCAAAACTTTTTATATTTTAGCTTCAGTATCTCATTTCAATTAGGGCATTGGGATCTTACCACCTTCTGAAATTGAAAATCCTAGCCTTCAGCATCCAAATGTTAGGCTCTTTGCTAATTATTTCAGTATTCCTTACCTTCTTTCTAGCTTTTATTTTCTAGCCATCCTAAACCACCTAAGTATCTTTGTCCTTTTTTTCCTTCTTTGGAATATCTTTTGTCCTCCTACTTTAATGGTCTTTTATTACCTTTCAAGTCTTGATATACTGTCTCCAGGAATCCTTCTGAGTTCTTTAGACAGAATTAAGCACTTCCTTCTTTATGTTTCCAGAACACCCTGTTCACTACATTTCATAGTATATACTAACAAATGAGTATTTTTAACATGTCTCTGTCTCCCCCCAAATCTGGGTTCCTTTGTTTAACTACTCATTTTTAATCACCTGCATTTGATATATGGTAGGTGATAAGTGTTATCTCATAAATAAACAAATGACTTTGCTTATGAGTATTTTGCATTTTTATATCTTATTTCCTTTCTGGATTGCATACGGAATTTCAGATAGTATGTTGGCTTTGCTTCTGTCAATCCTGAATCTTAGAGAAACCAAGTAAACGTAATGAATTGCTTTTTTCCATTATGATGGGAGTCTCATCTCATAGCCAGTTTGATTTATAGCTTCTGAGTTTTACAAATCTTTGGTGTACCAGTGTGGTATAGAAATAATGCATTTAACTCATTAAGAGTGATTTATTATAAATATTGATATCTGAATTAACTATTAGAATTAAGGTCAGTGACATCCAATGGAAATATAATAAGCATGAGTAATCTAAAATTTTCTGGTTAACATAGTGTCTAGTAAAAACAGATTAAATTAATTTTAGTATATTTACTTCTGTTATGTTCAGAATATCATTTCAGCATGTAATCAGTATTTTGATTAAAAATCAGTATTTAAATGTACAGTTTTTAAATGGAAATTTAATTATAAATTCAGTTTCCGAATTGCATAGCTACTGTCCAACTGCTGAGTAACTGTTTGGTTAGCTACTTTATTGACAATATTGTCCAGGTTAGGAGTTTTTAATTGTTAAGTCCCTTTTTAAGAAAACTGCATTGATTTTAAAACTTTTTATATATTAACTATATATATGTGTGTATGTCTTTGAAAAGTGATGAAACCTATTGTACTTTCCCTAGAAAAATACGGAGGCATATCCACACAAAATTTTGAGCCATTTCAAGGGATTCATAACTTTGTTGAGGACAGTCTATAGAACTTTTTTAGTGATATATGGGCTGAGTGTTTAGAACACTTGTCAATAGTCTTAATATAAAACAAAAGAGACATACAAAATTCTTAGGCAGTTTAAGTATAATTGTTTGGTAGAAAATACTTACTCTATGCACATACCACATTTCCTGGCCTCCCATCCTACAGCTGTGGAACCACTAAAAAAATCATTTAGAGCTGGCACAGTGTCTCAGTAGTAAAGCACCTCCCTATCAAGCTTGAGGTCCTGAGTTCAAACCCCCATGTCGCCAAAAAGAAAAAGAAAATCATTTGCATTGTGGGAGTCAGAAAATAATGCCTTTTTGCCTCTTCCCTTTGCTACTGGCTCTGACCTTCAGTGAATCTGTTGACCACTTTTTTCTTCAGATTTACAAAGTATAATTCAAACCTATGGTCACATTCAAAAGAGATCAAATAAGAACTAGAATTATGCTAGTCTTGATTGTCTCTTATTCCTCCTCATTGGTCATATGATAGGAAGGTGGGATGTTAATGTATTGAGATTACTAAATTCATAGGTCATAAATTTTGTATTGAGATTATTTTCCTTAATTTAACTGCATGAAGAAACGAAATGCTGTTATTATTAAACTCTGCAAATAAACATCATTTTGTGTAGTTACAACAAAGGTTTTAGGCATGAAAATGTACACAAAAGATAGCAGGAATCACAGTGAGATTTCTTTGCTGATCCCAGCTATCAGTTGCTGCATAAAATTAGGTTATTTATTTGCTCTATGGTATTCTCTCATGAGGTCATAACTAACTTTGTTAAGAATCTTTCTTCAGCTATTAGTCTTTTGCAATTCTTTTTCTTATTTTACTAAAATATTTTGGATTGTGTCATTGCATATAAGTATACTAGTGTTCTTATTGGCTATTTCAAGCCAATACAAAAAGCAATTGTAAATACTAAATGTGATGTGTTCCCTTTTAGGAGACTGTAAGAACAATGCTCTTGTACCAGGAACCATTCAAGTAAATGGCCATGGAGGACAGCCATCGAAACTTGTGAAGAGGGGACCTGGAAGGAAACCCAAGATAGAAGTTAATACCAATAGTGGTGAAATTATACACAAAAAAAGGGGTAGAAAGCCCAAAAAGCTACAGTATGCAAAGCCAGAAAATGCTGAACAAAATAATATGCATCCCATCAGAGATGAAGTGGCTCCTTCTTCAACATGCAATTTTCTTTCTGAAACTAATATTGTTAAGGAGGATTTGTTACAGAAAAAGAGTCGCGGAGGCAGAAAACCCAAAAGGAAGATGAAAACACAAAAACTAGATTCAGATCTCTTAGTTCCTGCAAATGTTAAAGTGCTGAGGAGAAGTAACCGAAAAAAGACAGATGATCCTATAGATGAGGATGAAGAGTTTGAAGAACTCAAAGGCTCTGAACCCCACATGAGAACTAGAAATCAAGGTCGAAGGACAGCTTTCTATAATGAGGATGACTCTGAAGAGGAGCAAAGGCAGCTGTTATTTGAAGACACCTCTTTGACTTTTGGAACCTCTAGTAGAGGACGAGTCCGAAAGCTGACTGAGAAGGCAAAAGCTAATTTAATCGGTTGGTAACTTGAACCAAAATATTTTACTTCAAAATCTATAAAGCAGGTACAGTTAAGGAATAAGTAGAATTAAGGTTTCTGCTTCCTTGCTGCTATGATGGATTAGGGAATGTTATGATTTGACTTGCAAAAAAAATTTAGAAAACACTTCACTTCTTTAAATGAAAATATATATATATATATAAATATATACATATATATTTTAAATGTTTGCTATTTATTGCCCTTAGATAGGTTATGTATTTCCACATTCATTTCATTCACTGTTTGAAACGAAAGAAATTGAGGACCTATAATGAATTCCTGATTTATTTATGGAAGAGACAGTTATACTACACTCTCAAGAAGCATAATATTCTTAGTGTAGAGCATTTCATGCTAAAATGAATTATTTTTGATCAAGCAAGGTACATTTTTATTGATACAGAAGTCATACCACTAGGAAGACAGATGTTACACAAAGTAGCAGTAAATTAAGAAATGTGTTTCCTCTAATGATAAGTATAAAATTCCCACCATTTGATAGTCTAAAAAGTTTTAATTTTAGTTATATAGAGTATTCATCTACAAAGTATCTACAGGAAGTTTTTGCTTTATTCCATTTCTGCCAAACTTAAGAGAAAATGTACTGATGAAAAGGAAACATATCCACATTGGAAAACATTTGACTGTCTAATATTTCAGACCTTGATTCTTATATCAATCACTCAATCTCTGTTTATTGTGCCAAAGACTGAGAATCAGTGCAGTGGAAAGTCTGTTTTTGACTGTCAGGACAGCATACACTTTTCAATATTGGAAAGGCTATATATTCTAAAGAGCAACTTATTAAAGAGTTATGCTGAGATATATCTTTTTGGTACTAAATAGAAAATTATGCACTGGTGGGTCCTTTGACAGAGATGTCTTAGAGAAAATGTTTAAGTGGTTAAAGGATTCAAGGAAAATACAGGAGGAAAAAAAGGTATGGGATTTGGATGTTTACTTATTGATCTGGATTAATGTCATTTCTAAACTTCAGTCATATCTGATAGGCTAAAATGACTGAAAAAGAAACATGTCTGTGTGGGTGTGTGTATATATTGATAAATGGGTATAATTAAATATATATACACATACTTATATACTATTACCCAGGTATAAATTCTTTTTTCAGGATTTTTTAGATAGTGGTAGAATAAAAATAATTTTTAAATGTCATACTTTATAGTTTAATTTTAAGAGGAAGATTGGTTATTTTCAATTATTAAAGGTTAAAATAGGCCAAATCACTTTTTATGCAATCATGTTTTATACAGTGGTCTCATTGCACATTGTGTTTTTTCTGCACTTTTTACGGTATCCTTATCACGCTGGTATGTCAACACCCTAAAGAAACTCCATTTAATGATTGTGCCTTGTATTCTATTATTTTTTGCATCATTAGTAAAATTAAGTTGTCTATTGTAAATGGTAACTATATGACTTAGGAGAATGTATTGCTATATGTACTGCTATGGAAAAGGAAAGCAGTTATTTATTTGTTTATGGTACAGTTAGTTATTTTATACCTTAAAAACCAACATAATACCATTTCTATTGTTTAAAAATTATTGTCCTTTTTTTAAAAGTTAAAAGAATGTAGTATTTTCTGAGGACTGATATGGTACAAAAATGTAACCAAAATTTTCAGATACTACATTTTTAAAAAGCAAAGATGGGGAAAATATGTATCAGCATGACCCTGATGTAGAAAAATAAAGTCTTTAATTGAACCTTGGCAAAATACATTATATAATTACATTATATAATTATTTCCTTACTTGTTTCTGATAAGGATAAATGTTAACTGTCATTTAACTGTCTTGAGGAAGAATGAAAAGTGATGCATTTGGGCTTTATAAGTGGTTTGTAACTAAATTTGTACAGAAATCTTCCTGTGAAATTAAGTAAACCATTTTCCAGATCTTGACTGGATTGCTGTGATTTTGCAGTTGAAAAACAGTTTCAGATTTTTCAGGTTTTTGTATATTTATTTTTTTCTAACAAATATATTGAAGTATATAATTAAAATTCAGTAAACTCTTCATAATGCAGAAATGGCTTGGTTGTACAGAAAAATGAGTCTTTCAGTTTCACCATTATTGAAAATAATAGTATGTTTGAAATTTAAGTCTTTAAATTAGTTGCTTTTGAAGGCAATCTCTTTGAAATATGTAATTTCCTGATATTATCTGCACTGCATTAGAAAAAAATAGACAAAAGTCAATTTTTGTAAAAAAAAAATGTATAGTTTTAAGGTGTGTACAGAAAGAAAGAGCGTATGGTCTTAGTGTGAGATACCTTTAGTATGGTGTAAGGATTAGTTCCAGCTCTGAGCAAAGAAGTGAATATTTACCATCTTTCCTATAACAAGTAAATGTATTATTTCCTGTTCTAAAGACACTGTATATTTATGACCATTTTTGGACATTTTCAGACACTGGTTTCTTAGTTAAGCAAAATTACTTGGATCACATTATTTGTAACAGAAACACTTAAAATGTATTAGTAATACCAGATATATTTAGATTTTATGTTTTTATAATTTAGCTTCTATACATTATAAAAATTGAATTAAGAAATTTTAAGTCATTACTATATTTTTGTTTTGTTTTACCACTTGGAAAAATAGGTCTTTGAGACAATAGCATGTATGTACTTTTCATAGGCCAGAAGGAAATGTTGCCACTTGTCTTAGATAAGCAATAAAAAAATCTCAAATTTACTGAGAGTTTCAGAAATAAAACCTGTTATATGCATGGAATATAGAAATTATTTTGCATATTTCTAAGCCCCCACTCGTAATATTCTCTGTCTCCCTCTACCCCAACATTGTCAAGCCATAGGAAATCTTACAGAATTTTAATGTCACCACTGAATAAACATTTAATGTAGTTAAAAACTCTCAGTCTTTGGCACTGCATATGGAGCTTCTTAAAGTTTTATACTTTGCAATCTGCTATTGTAGCATTGGTCTGTTTTCTGCATGTTATTTATGAACTAAAGATTTATTGGCTTTATTTCCATTCTTTTTATTATACAGCCTTACTATTTAAAGACTATTTGGTGGCATTAGTACAAACTTGTCTTCCATCTTAAATGTAATTAGAATAACCATAAAGAACTCATAACTTGATATGATCACATCTGAGACATGAGAATGTCTGAATTTAGTTTCACTTGGAAATAACTTACATAAGACACAGTAAACAGAGAAAATACCCTCATTTAGTGTATCTGTTAACATCTACAACTGTCCCTTACTTGCACTGTGGTAGATTAAGCTAATATTTCAAGAAAAGTATTACAATAACATTTTTATCATCTTTTAGTAGCATTTACATGTTACAAAATGTGGTTTGTAATATAAATTAGTTCCTTCAATTAATAGTGTTTACTTTAATTCTGACATTCCATTTTGTAGCTACCTATATATTTTTCTCAAATGTAAGCTGGAAGCAATTTTGATAATCATTTTCTATGTAGAGAAAATGAATTCATTCTGAATGTTTTTGTTCACCTGAAATTTTTTTTTGAGTAGGTTGAAAGGACCAAGATAACTTGAGTAATTAAAGGGCTATACATGTTCACCTTGTACATTATTTTAAAAATCATAATAGGGCAATTACTTTTATCTTCTGTGCATTAACCCCAACTTACTTAGAAAATATTCCTAATATAACAGGTTGAACAGTGGGTTTAGTTTCATTTAGGTGAGAATTTATCTCGGAAAAGTACACATTACGTTGCTTCCGTCCTTTGCACGTCTCCTTAGTTCCCCTAATTTCCAGGTTATTTGAGCTAAGTTTAGTGTTACATTTACTGAGAAACTATTTTTGTTTTTAATTATACTTAGCAAAGCACTCCATATGAAATTTCATTTTGAGCTATGTACAGTACCCAGGAATTGAGTCAGAAGATTGACTGTAAGTACCACTTTGAGCGCTCCGAAGATAAACTTTGTACACACTACAATAAAACAGTGAGTAGAAAATCTGAGCTATAAATATATATATATTTTTGTTGTTGTTGTTTTGAGATACTTTTTAAATGCAGATAAAGTTATCAGGAAATTAACCTTATATGGCACAAACCAAATACATAATAGCGTATGGCTGAGTTTCTACATTTCAAGGAGTTAAGAAAATAGTTTCAAGATGGTATATAGTGTACATGCATATAAGGCAGATGCACACATGCTGGTTACTTTTAGGAATGTGCGTGTTGATTTATCACAATGATAGACTACAAAATGAAATAAAAATACAAAGTTACATTTTTGGACCATATAAAAACTGCAAGAAGACAGGTCTTATAAAAGATCTTTTAGAAAACTTAAATCCCATCACAGGATATTTAGACATGTGTAGAATGTAGCTCAGTTTTTTAAAAGTAACTGACCTAGAGGGTTAAAGTTGAAACTGACACATTTTCAAATTAAGATTATGCTTATTTTGTACAGAAAACAATGTTAAACCAAGCAAATCTGTTGTATGTAATAAGTAACAGAATTAAAACAAATAATTATTTAGCTTTATTGAGGTTTTTGTTCTATTCCTTCAGGACCTGGAGTATCATGTTATAAACAAGTCTCATACCACGATAGCAGTGCCCTTTCTTTTTGTACATATTGATTGGACCTTTCTTTACTGTTAACGTGGATACTTTCTATGTTAGTTTTGATGCATAATTCTTTGAATCCTTTTATACAAACTAGAATGTATGTGTAAGAATTCCTGTCCCTGCAATGTAGTAACTATAAACTTATTTTTAAATAAATAGAAAACTTGCTTTTCTAAGGTATTTTGTGGAGCCTCGTGATTCTTTTGTTTTTTTGGTAACACATAAAGCTCTAGGTACGTAATTTATTTTTTTTCCACTTAAAACATAGCTTCATTGAGGCATAATTTATATACCACAAAATTAACCTGCATAAAGTGTTTAATTTTATGAGTTTTAGTAAATTTATAGTTTTGCAACCATAACCACAATCAACCTTCAGACCATTTTGTTATGCCCAAAAAGTTCCCTTGTACACATTTTGCAGTTGATCCCTGTTCCCACACCAAGTCCAGATAACCAGCTCCAATTTGCTTTGTCTCTGCAAATTTGCCTTTTCTAGACATTTCTTACAAAAGGAAATAGGCAGTATGTATTCTTAATGTGACTTTTTACTTAGCATAGGATTTCTAAATCTTGCACTGTGTACATTTTGGACCATATAATTCTTTTTGTGGAGAGCTCTCCTGTGCATTGTAGAATGTTTACCAGTATCCTTTGGTCTCTACCCACTAAATGCCAGTAGTGCCCTCTCTCCATGTGACAATCCATAGTGCCCAGACATTCCCAGATGTCTCCTGGAAGGCAAAATCATCTCTGGTTATGCACTACTGATTGAATATTACAAACCTTATATTGTTTGTAAGGTTCGTCTGTGTTATTCTTTCATACATTTTTTAAAAAAATGGTTATCTTTTCCTTAATGATTTGTCAGATGTGAGTCCTTTGTCCACAATGTAGCTTTCATTTTTAATTTTATATTTGAATTAGCATACATGAATAATTCGAGGGAGTTTCATTGTGATAATTCCATACGTGCACACAATGTACTTTGAACAGATTCACCCCCTTCATTATCCTTCATTATATTCCTATTCTCCCCTCTTTTTCAAGCAGTGTTTGGTGGGTTTCATTATGCTGTCCTCGTGTGTGTGTGTGTGTGTGTGTGTGTGTGTGTGTGTGTGTGTGTAGTGTATTTTGTTCCTCTTCACACCTTAGTGTCCTTTTCTTTCCTCCTTCCCTCTTACACTGATTTCTCCCCAGACAGCCCCCTTTTATATTCATGTCACATTATCATTATCATTTTGGGTCTAGATTCCACAAATGAGCGAAAACATGCAATACTGGGATTTTTTAGTTTGGCATATTTGACTCAACATGATGGTCTTAAGTTCCATCTAATTTCATTTTTCTTTATGGCTCAGTGATATTCCATGATAAATAAAAAGTATATATACTATGTAAGTATGATTATTATATATCTCCTTCTTTATATAATGATCAATTATTTGAACACCTTGGTTGATTCCACAGTTTGGCCATAATGAAAAGAGCTGCAATAAACATGGGTATGCAGGTATTATCTTGTATATTGATTTACACTCTGTTGGATATATGCTCAAGTACGTAACAAAATTATACTAGGTACATAATTTCAACAGTTTAACAAAGTGATTGTGTAATAGAAGTCATTTTGTAAAATGGTTCATTAGAGTTTCCAGTGCCCAAAATGTTTCAAATTACTCAGTTAAAGGTTTTGAATGCCCTAATGTAATTTAATTCCAAAATGATTGAAGAATAAAGACTTGTTTGCCATTTTATGTGCCCACTTAAAATAATTCTATTGACTTCTCATTATATGTGAGGCACTGTACTGGGTGAGGTGCTGCAGTATTTAAATATTCTTGTAAGATGTATGTCAAGACATTTTACGTAAGTATTTTCTCAAAAACATGAATATTCTGGAAAAACATAAGTGGGAACTAATGAAATGTTCACCTGTTATGCAGTTGTACAGATAATGAAATCTATAAAACTGCTGCTATTTTCTTAGAACATTGTTTAAATAACTAAGAATTCCCAATTCTTAGGAATTTAATTTGTATTTTAATGTTCATTTCTTCCTAAGAAATTGTGTTTAAATTACTTTCTTTAAACTAATAAATTGAGGAGGCAAGTAATAATTCCCTGGTACCTTTTGTTTTACTTTCTCAAATATACCGACAATAATGACTACTTAGAACATTAATACTATTAATGTTAACACCTGCTTACAACAACCAGCCCAAAAAATTAATTGTCAGCAAAAACTTTTTACTGGTTTTTCTTTTAACATCAACTTTATGATCTAAGTTTCCCCAGTATTTTAGGATGATAAGATTAAAAACCAAAGTGCAAAATCTCTGGTCTTTGAAATATAGTACTTTGTAGCTCTGTACTTAACCATATATTGATTACTGTTTTTCAGGAAAGAATGATAGAAAGGATTCAATAAAGTGTCTTCTACCTTACTAGTTAGACATGCTGTTAGCACAGTGAAATGGCAAACACTGGGCTTGGAGTTTGAAAATGAGAGTCTGATCTTAATTCTTGAAAGTTAGGTAGTAGGTAACCAGGCAAGGTCATTTCATCTCTGAACTTTCTTTTCCTCATCTGTTGATTAGATTATCTCTGAGGTCCAATTCAAATAGCCTTTGGTTAGATTTCACTGGTGTATTGTTCTCAATACACTTGGCTCAATCTTGGCTTTTCTATTTAGTTCCTTAAATAAGATAGTCCATTAAGTGTAGATCGTCCAGGCCAGGTGTGTCTTGTGCCATGGCCTTATTGTAGCAGTAGTAAACCTTGGAAAGACTTTTGATTGTGTTGTTGCAACACAGCATTGTATTGCTGTAAATTTCTGGAAGTTGATCTGAAATATTAGTTTACTATGGGTAAAAAGTAGTAAAGTTTGTGATTTCTCCAGGGGCTCAATGGAGTTTTAATAAATTTAGGATTCAATCTTGTGGAAAAGCAATGTTAATCACTTGATTAAGAGGATCATAGATGCTTAAGAAGAAGAGCTGGTTTCCTATTTAATCAAACCAAATAAAAATAAAGTAAGTACAGAAAACAGATTAATTTTGAGGGGAAGGATGTTTCAAAAGTAGAAAACTTCCTTTTTTGTTGTTTTGGTTTAGTTGTAATAAAGAATATCAAGCAAAAGAAAAATTGGTATCAGAATAGCTGTGTGTGTGTGTGTATGTGGTTCTGGAAATGGAACCCAGAGCCTCAGTATGCTAGGCAAGCACTCTCCCACTGAGGTACACATCCCCAGCCCATAATTTATTATGTCAACAAGAAACCAATTCATAGTTTGGTGTCGATATTTGGTTTCAACATAGTTCTTGGCAGTAAAGGTTTCACAAGTTCTTTCCTGCCCCCACCTACATACTTTTGTAGGAATAAATACATTAAAGCTCAGAAAACTTTGCCAAATTTTTAGCACACTTTAATTTTTTTAAGATTCTTAATACTTTTACCAATACTAATTTTTTTAATAAAACAAATTGACATTAGGATGAAACTGTTTGTCCTTGAAAAAAAATCTGGAATACTGCATTACCCTAACACATTGCTTTATTTGCTCTGTCACTATTTTTCTTTAGTGTAGTCTCAGCTACCTATATTAATTACAAATTTTAACCCAAAGTAACTGACTTCTGTCTCACAGAGAAAGCTGAAAGGAAGGTAATGTAAAACTTATCATACTAGCATTTTTGCAGAATAGAACCTTAAAGTTGCACAAATTAAAATATTCATTAAAAATATGACCCAAAGACCAAGTACCACTCACACCTGTAATCCTAGCTACTTGGGAGGCCGAGATCAGGAGGATCATGGTTCAAGGCCAGCTCAGGCAAATAGTTCACAAGACCCCACCTCCAAATAATCGGAACAAAATGAACTGGAGGTGTGGCTCAAGCAGTAGAGGGCCTGCTTTGCAAGCACGAAACCCTGGGTTCAATTCCCAGTCCCACCCTCCACCCTCCAAAAAAAAAATCCCAAAGATAGCCACTGCACAGTGATTAAATGTAAAACACAAGGGTATTAACATAAAATTTTGCTTAGTGAACAGGATTTTAGAATTCAATCTTACAATGAAGTAAATATCCATGATTAGCCATTAACTCAACATTAGTCCAAGGTTTAAGTTACCAGAGGATCTTGGAAATTGTGTTCAATGTGACATACTACAAATCTGTTATAAAATATTCATCAAAATTATAACTTAATTTATCTGAACACAGTTTGCTTTTAGCTATTCTAAATTTGTCAGAGCAATGTCAGTTTATCTAGTCAGAGGTCCAGCATAAGAGGTTCAGAGACTTCAGAAGAACTTTTGTATGTGTGTGTCTCATTTTCTCTTTCTTTCTTTCCTTCTTTCCTTCTCTCCTCTCTCTCTCTCTCTCTCTCTCTCTCTCTCTCTCTCTCTCCCCTCCCTCCCTCTCTCCCTCCTTCCCTCCCTCCCTCCCTCTCTCTTTCTCTCTCTCTCTCTCTCTTCCCTCCCCCTCTCTTTCTGTTTTCTCCCTCTCTCTCCCTCTTCCTCCTATATTTCTTTTGGTTTTTGGGTGGAACTGGATTGTTTTGTTTTGAAGTCAGGGCTTCGTGCCATACCTCCAACTCTTTTTGCTTTGCTTCTTTTAGAGATAGGGTCTTGCTTTATGCCCTATTTTACCCTTTCCACCATATCTGAGATGACAGGTGAATACCATCACACCCAACTTTTTTCTGTTCAGATGGAACCTGTTCTAGAACTGTGATCCTCTCAATCTCAGCCTCATATAAACGGTATGACAGGTGTGTGCCACTGCATCCAGCTATTAGTTAGACAAGGTCTCACAAACTTTTTGTCCTGACTAGATCCTCCCAATCTCATCCTCCCCAGACAGCTGCATTTACAGCTGTGAGCCACCTGTACCTGGCCAAACTTGTCTCTTCTTGAGAAAACAAATCCAGTCTTCATTCTAAAAATATGCATTTGTTATACTCAATACTTCTACAGAAAAGACATATAGCCATTATTTAAATATAAACACAAATAATAAATCAGTCTAATTTTCTGAAAGATTCACTCTATCTGAATTAGAATTCTTATGTGCAAATTTTTGTATGATCCAGTTCTGTAAGAAAGGTTTCTCTTTTTTTTGAGGTGCTAGATATAAAATCCAAGGCTTTGTGCATGCTAGGCAAGCACTCAGCCACTGAGC